TAAATAAATATTTTTCAGCATGACTTCTAAATACTATAAATCAAACATTCAATAATTTTTATAAATAAATATTTAAATACTTATTTTTTTCACAAAAATTACAATTATTTCAATTTTAATTTCAAAACTTTCTGAAATTTAATCACTACATACTAAAAATGACAACTGGAACCCTTCCAAAAATTAAATTAAATTCTACAATTTTTAAGAAGACAGATTATTTTTAATAATTTTCCGAAAGTCCTTCGAGAATTCAATTAATTCAGCACAAAAATTAAATCTTTTATAATAATCGTAACGACAAATCTTGTTTTTCACTCTTTTATTAATTAAGGTGAATAATTGAAAATTTATAATCGAAAATATTGAAAATAATTCAATTGATTTTTAAAAACCCACAATAAAAAAAAATTCTTAAAATTTATATTCAAAAAATATTAAATAAATTTTGAAAGATAACAAATTTTCTAATTATTTAAAATTGAAAAACTTGTAAATAATTAGTAATTTAGTACAAAAAATGTTAAATAACATTTTGTAAACAAATAAATATAATGAATTGAAATTTAGTAAAATCTTTAAGAAATAATTTTATTTCTCAAAAGAATTTTCGAAAAATATTAAAAAATAATCAGGTTTTTGAAAAATTTTAATTGCAGATATAAAAATACAAGATTTTTCCAAAAATTTAAATGATAAAATCTGAAAAAGTAGATTTTTTAAAAAAGTTTCTTTAACTTTTCTCGAAAATAATTCATTTTTAAAAATTATGCTTAAAAATTCTAAAAATTAGTTTTTCAAAAATAGTGTAATGGAATTTTTTCGAAAATAATTGAATTTCTTAAAAGAATTTTTGGACGATTTAAAAATAAATTTTTTGAAGAATTTCAATTAAAAGTTTTTAAAATTAATGATTTTTCAAAGATTTTAATTAAAATTTTTTTAAAAAATTAGACTTTTTCAAAAAAATGTTAATTAGAGCTGTGCAAAATAATTCGAACCGAACTGTTCGAATTTTTTCGCCTAGTTCGAATGTCGAAAATTCGACATTCGAGTTAGCCTAGTTCGAATGTCGAAAAACCGACATTCGAACTAGCCCAGTTCGGATGTCGAATATTCGACATTCAAGTTACTACAAAATTCGAACCGAACCGAGTTGTGTTCGGTTTTAGTACGCTAAAATGTCGAATTCTAAAATTCGACATTTCAGCGCCCCAAAACCGAACTAAACTCGGTTCGGTTCGAATTTTGCACAGCTCTAATGTTAATGTAATTATTTTTTGTACCTAGATATTTGCATTTTCGAAAAAATGAAATTAAAAATTTTGAAAATAATTGAATTTTAATTAAGCATAAAAAAAAACCTCTAAGAATTATTTTTTCGAAAGTATTTCAATTTTTACTATCTTTTTTTGAAGTTAATTTTCAATATAATTTACATTTCAAAATTTTCATTTAAAAATTGTTCATTCAAATTTTTGAGAATTCAATATTATTTTTAGAATTTGCTATTAAAATTCTTTGGAATATTTGAATTTTCAAAAATATGTAAAATCGAAAATATTGGAAATAATTGAATTTCAAAGAATATACCTAATGAAAAAAAATTCTAAGGAATTAAGTTTTTCGATAATATTTTAATTAAATTTTTTTGAAGCTAATGATTAATAATAATTTATATTTTCCAAATTTTCATTCGAAAATTATTCACTGAAATTTTTGAGAATTCAATATTATTTTCACAACTTACTATTAAAATTCTTCGAATATTTAAAATTTTGAAAATATATAATTAAAAATATTGAAAATAATTGAAATCATTGAATTTAAAAAAATTATAACATAAAAATTCTAAAAATTATTTTTTCAAAACAATATATTATTATAATTTTTTGAACCTAATTTCCATTACTTTGCATTTTTGAATTTTCATTTGAAAACACTTTATTACAATTTTCAGAAATTGTTATTAAAAATCCTTTAAATTTTCTAGTTCAAAAAGTTTACTTTCAATCATTTTCAATAAATTTGTACAAGATTTCAATTATTACAAATCTTTTTAATTACCTATTTCGAAAATTTAATTATCTAAAAAAAATTATTCAACAATAATTTTTGAAAGATTTGATTATATTTTTCAAACTATAAAAATACAAATTAATTTGTATCATACACCAAAAAAGTAGGTAGTATTTTGTTGCAATATTTGGAAAAGTTGCAAAATGTCTCTAATTTTGAAAATAAATCGAAAAAAATCGCCTGTTTTGGAAAATAGTCGAAAAAAGTGCAATAAGTCGCCTTTTTGGAAAATAATCGAAAAAAGTCCAAAAAAAAATTCAAAATTGCCTTTTTGGAAAATAGTCGCAAAATGTCAAAATATCCGAGACTTAAAGTGTACGGATTAAAAAAATTCAAGTAAGAGTGTAAAGAAAGAAACGAAAAAAGAAAAATTTTGTCAAAGAATGCGTAAATCTAAATGATCATAGAGCAAGGAATAAATTTAATGCATGACACGTAAAATGCGGTCATGAGAAATGTAAAAAAGAGAATCTAGAGCTCAGTTTCAATAGTTCAGTATTAAATGCGGTACGGTTCATGTTACACGCTAGGCTCGACGATGAGGAGAATCGATCAAATTTAGGAGAGCGAGCGAGAGAGAGATAGAGAGCGACGTATTCCCTCGAATTCATCCGCACAATGGTTGATCTCAGTGAATTATAGTGAACCACTTAGCTAAAATTTGCAGTCGAAAAGTGACCTTAATAGCGAACGCTTCCTTTAATCACGCTAATTATCTGCCCTAATTTTCAAGAAATTTATCAAATTTCGAAAGAAAAATTCGAAAAAAAATTCCTCTATTAAAACAATTTAAATTTTGTCACTCAGATACTATTCAGTCTTCTTTACAAAGAATATTTTTTACTGTTCATTCTTTTTTTATTCATGAAGAAGTTAATTTCATAATAATTTACTTTGTAAGATTAAATTATTTAATTGTTTCAAATTTAACAAAGAGTTTCTAATAAAAATAATTTTCTCTCTAATTATAAATGAAAAGAATTTTTTTTAACAATTTATTTTAATTTTTCAATTTTTTTTTACAGAAGAAAAAATAATTTTCAGACGTCTAGTTAAAAGAGGATGATTTAATTAATTTTTTTCTCTTCTAATGAACAGTCTTCAGAGGAGTAATCGATTTTATGTTATTCATGATACACAGGAAGTATGTACAAATGCACGTTGAGCACACTTGATTGAAGCACTTGCTATACTAATGCTTTCAGTCTTCAGTCACGCGATACCCCTTTTATCCCGCGTCTTTTTTTTTGGGCTTTTTAAAACAAACTTTTTCCAAAAATGAAAATTTTTATTTAAAAAAAAAACTACAATCCAGGAAGAAAAATTAAAAACTTCTCCAAAAAATAAATTCTTAACACCAAATCGAAAAATCCGAAATGGAAATATCAAGAAAAAATTGTGAGTGAAAAAATTTTAACGAGAAATAATCCGAAAATACTTTATGAAATAGATTTTTTTCTCGCTCATTTAACCCGAACGAATAAACGAGAGGAAAAAAAAAGCTTCTAGAATAACAATACATTTTTAAGAAAGATGTCAAGGTCGGAGAAATTTAAACCGACGTTTTGTCCCCCATATCATGAATAATTATTTACTTTACTCGCAATTTTTTTTTATTTTCACTCATTTATAAATAAATGATGGAAACTTTTATTAAACGGACAAAAGGTGAAATATTTTGATCAATGAATGTGAGAGAAAGAGGAGAGAATGTATTTATCGTAGAATAAAAATAATAAACTGCATCTCTCTAATTGTTTACCTTTCAGTTATTAAATTTCACTCTCACTTTAATTAATAAATTGATTATCATTATTTTTACTATCATTTTATAATCCTTGTATAATTAAATTTATAAATTTATAATTATTTTCTAATTATTAATTTATAATTAATTAACTATATTAATTAATATAAAAAATGTACAATTATTCAAAAGTAGATAACGTTCTATTAAAACTTTCAAAACCACTTTAATTATTTATCACTTCCTGGAGCTAACATTTGAACTTTTCAAATGAAAATCGATAAAATGATAAATAGATGTTTACAAATAGCATCATTGACTGGAAGTGTAAATATTGTTTTCAACAAAAACCGAAAAACGACAAAAAAAAAAGGGGAAAATTTCGAAGAAAAACTGTGAATTTTAGAATATATAGGTAAAATTCTTTTTGTTCACTGAATCCAAACTGTCTGTTTTTGCATTACATCAAAAGAGATGAATAGTGAATTGAACAAGAGAAAAGAATTTTTTTTTCTCATCTAACTAATCAGAATTGTGTCAAAACGTGACATTATGAAAAAACAAAAATTTCCACAACCTATTCTAATATTTCAAATACAATCATCACAATTTCCAGAGTCAGATAAAATATGAATCAGTGAATTTCAAGAAGCGAGGAAAATTTCTGAAGAAAATTTGTCAGCGAATATTTCAAGAAAAGTGAAAACTAAAGTTTTTGAAAAAATACTTTTCGGGAAAATAATTATTCGAAGGAGTAATTATTCAAAAGAAAGTAACTACCTATTTGGATTAATATTTTTCGCAAAAATAGTTTTTTGGAAAAAGTAAATATTCGAAAAAAATTAACTATTTGGATTAATACTTTTTTTGAAAATATTTCTTGCAAAAATAGTTTTTGGAAAGAGTAATTATTCGAAAAAACTAACTATTTGGAGTAATACTTTTTCGTGAAAATATTTTTTGCAAAAATAGTTTTCGGAAAGAGTAATAATTCGGAAAAAAGTAACAAATATTTGGAAAAAGGGTAACTATTTGCAAAGAAAACGAGTAATTATTAGGAAAACAATTTTGTTTATAAAACTAACAGAATCTAATCGAGATAAAGAAGCGAATTTGAAAAATATAATCAACTATATTTTGTGTAGTGCACCGAAAACTTGAATTATTATTGCAGATCTTACGGACAAAAAGAAGGAGAAGAGAGGAGGAGGAGGGGAATGAGAGGATTTGTAACGAGAACAGTGTACTGGGTTTGCATTTTGCTAGACTTTACTCAACGGGCATGTATGTATACCTATTCTATTCCTTTGTGGTTTTCTCCGATATCCAACCATGAATACTTCACGCGTTCCTGAAAGCGCAATCATTGTTCCTGCAGATGAAAAGTGCAAACAAGGACTTCTGCGGACGGCAAAACAGATACAAAGTTACGTTACTTGTGCTCAATTCAAAAATAGCTCAATAATGTCGTGTAAACCTTGAAAATTAATCGATATTTATATGTATTAAAAAAAATAATAAATAATTTTACAAGCCGATAAACTTTCATTATTTCTAAATCTCAAAACATCTCTTCATTATTTTCACATATCTCCGTTCTTTTGAATTTTAATTTAAAATCAAAAAAATTAAATTTTAAATCTTTAAAAGAAAATTTCAATGTGAATTTACAATTAAATTCTTAATTAAAATTACAATTAAATTTTTTATCAAATTTTAAAGAAAATTTAAAAGAAAGTTTAAAAGTAAATTTAAAAGAAAATTTAAAACTAATTTAAAAGAAAATTAAATTTCAGAGTAAATTTTAAATTTAGTTAAACAAAATCAATAGGAATTAAAATAATATTAACATAAGATAATCCAAAAGTTTTGAGCGCTTAAACGAACGAAATATTTGCATAAATAGTCATAAATTCATTGCGAAATTAAAAACTTAAAGTTCACATTTCGAAACTAGAATTAATTTTTTTGACAGTACCGCAAAATTATTTAAATTAAATTCGAAGAAAAAATAAATAAATTTCGCTCGGAACTTTAGGATTAGAAAACTAATTAAAATTAAAATAATTTAATTAATTTTGATGTATGAGAAATTATCAAAATACCTGAAGGAATATTATATTTATCATAATATTCAAATATTTTCGCTTAATTCTCATACAACAATTTATCTCCTCGAGATGAAAAAGCATATAGGCTATAATGCCATGAATTCATATTGAATGATGTTGACGTTAACCTATTAACCCACTTTTATTGCCCTATCTATCAAACTATTTGTTCCTGAATGCATAATAATAAAAATTGAGAAAAAAAGGTACGGGAGAAAAAATCAACAACTGTCAAATAAGAAGAAAAACTTTCAAGAATCTTGATTCTTTCCAGTTTCAACCCGTTCTTTAAACGACACCAATATTGCCAGACGAGAAATATTTCAATTCAAGTTTCGAATAAAAAATCCCCCCCTCATTCTTAAATGATGATTTTTCTAAATTATCCTATTACTTTTCTGGAAAAATTTTTTATTCACATTCTCAAAAAAATAAAATATAATTATACATAAATAATATTATGTAAAGTATTTATAATATTATATTATATTATATTCATTTTTTGTGAAAAGAATCTAAAAAATGAACCAAATGGAGTTTAATAAGATGATTGAATTAGAAATAAAAACTAAAAGTGAAATACTTGAAACAAAAAGAGAAAAGAAAATATAAAATATTATTTCTTTATGTATTATTGCGTTTTCTTTTTTTTTTTTGAGAAATAAAAGCCGATTTTGCAACGAAAACTATAAAGCTCGTTAAAATGTAAACTTTTGAGAGAACTCGGGAGAAAATAAAGGGAAGTCAATATATTTTCAGTGCCATGAAGAGAATACTGCAGTACATTAAAGTACCTGCAATGTAAAACCACCAGAAAGCTTTCGAGCAACGTCTAACTAAATCAAATGAATTTTATAACGTACACATAGCGATATATATATATATGCATGTTACCTTCGAAATCATCCTTTATAAAGTAGTGACAGAATTAACTGTTATTGCATGTGAAACTTTATGATCAAGTAAGTTAACGATCCAATAGAATTATTAAACTTTTCTTTCATTTGACGCAGCTAATAAAAAATTTTACACTATTAATCAAATCCATCAAATTCATTTAGATTCGACCAAAAATATAAATTTTTTTATTACACGATTCTTTAGAAGAAACAAAACTTTATTTAAATTTTCGTTCGTTTCTATTTGTATTAAAATGAAACCAACGAGAGAAGGTTACTTTAAAATCAAATAGAAACGAAGAAAAGATTTTAAAAACAAGTTTCATTTCCACAATAAAACTATGCGACAATAATAAATCGTCGTAAGTAATTATAATTATACTAAATTATAATCAATTTAAATTCTTTTTTTGAATATTTAACAAATTTTTTAAATATTTGAAACTTCCTTTAAAATTAAAAATTTTACAAATATTTAAAACTCTTTTTAAATATTTAACAATTTTCCAAATATTTTAAAACTGTTTTTAAAGATTTAACAATTTTCCAAATATGGAAAATTGTTAAATATTCGACTTGAGGAAATTATTAAGTACGAACCATGAATTGTAATTTCTGTGTCCTTTTCAAGCTCATAAAGTCGCAGAGCCTCGTCAAGTTCCTGTTGAGAAACAATTCTACATGGATCACCCTCGTCGTCGACCCATTTCATCGTGAACTGATCCTGTCCTGATCCAGAGCCCGCTCCAAAACCGCAAATTGTCCGCATCTCCTCACGCAAAGTATCCACCGAGATTCCAGCGGTGATATACGTAATTTGAACTTCTCTACAAAAACACATGTAAACGTCAGAATTTATCTCTCTTTATATAAAATATAATTTCGTCCACAAAAAAACACTTTTCTCACTTTTTTTCATTTTCTAAAGAAATTAACATTTTTCTGTTTTAAAAAAAATTTCTATTTTATTTCATCAAAAAAACAAAAAAACAAAAAAACAAAAAAACAAAAAGAAAGAAAGAAAAAAATAAATAAGAATAAAAAAAATAATAATAATAAACAAATAAGGAAAAATAATTTAGAAATATATTTGGTTTTTAATTTGCAAATCTTACAGGATTGCCACAAATATTTAATTTTATTTTTCCCTGACTTTTCCCTGATTTCCAGACAAAATTTTCACTTTTTCCCTGACCCTAAAGAATATTCTGATTCACTATAAAAATATTAGATACTCAAAAAAAATATTCTTAATACATTTATTTGCGAATTTCTTTAAATGTAAAATTATTCGAAAACATCAATAACCTCTTTTCTAAATAAATATTATTTAATCATTATTATTTTTCCGTAGGAATTAAAATTCTTCAAAACATTCAAATTCAAACCTTTTTGTAATCGCCTTCTTCATGTTTTGTAATAATTGAAATTACCATAAAATTTTTCAAAAAAAAGTTAATTATTTACAAAAATTCTAATAAAATCCTTCGTAAGAATTCAATTATTTTTAAAAATAGTAAAATTTCTCAAAAAAATTCAATTATTTAAAAAAATGTAATAAAATTCGTTGCAAGAATTCAATTATTTTCATAAATAATAAATCGATTATTTGGTAATTTATTTTTAAATTAATTTTTATTAGAAAATTCTGGAAGAATTAAATTATTTAAATTAAAAAATAAATAATTTATTGAATAATTGAATGTTTGTTAAAATGGAATTCACATAAAGAATTTTATCAACAAATTTTTAAATAATTGAATTCTTTTGACAAATTTTAATAAAATTTTTAAGAATAATTACATTTTTCGAGGAATTTGATTAAAATTGTATCAAAAATAATTAAAATCCTTGAAATTTTGACAAGAATTTTTTTTAAATTTTTGAACATAATTGAATTTTATTCAAGTTTATAAAAATAACTGAATTTCTGTGACGAATTTGATTATTTATATAAATAATTGAATTCTTGCAACGAATTTTATCCAAGTTTATCAAAATAATTGAATTTCGGTGAAGAATTTTATTATTTATAAAAATAATTGAATTCTTGAAAAGAACTTTGTTAAATTTTTTTTAAATAATTGAATTCTTACGACGAATTTTATAAGAATCTTCTTAAATAATTGATATTTTTCGAAAAATTTTATGAAATTTTGTATTTTAAATAATTGAATTCCTGTGAAATTTTTATTACTTATGACAATAATTGAATTATTTCGAAGAAATTTATTTAAAATTTTGTAAATAATTCAATTCCTGTAAAATTTTGCCAAGAATTTTATTAAAATTTTTAAAAAAATTAAATTTCAAAGAAGAGTTTTATTATTTATGAAGATAATTGAAATTTTGACAAGAATTTTTTTTTAATTTTTAAACATAATTGAAATTCTGCGAAGAATTTTTATAACTTTTGAAAATAATTGAATTTCAGGAATTTCAATTTTTTCCAGTACTTTTACTAAAAATCCCAGACTTTTCCCTGATTTTCCTGACCTATGGCAACCCTGCCTTATATCTAATCCCGAGAAAAACGTCCTATTCGAAGTAAAAATACAAAACTTACAAACTTTTCTAATTTTAATTCGAGTTTCTGATTTTCCTTTTCGATGGACTTAATATTATCCAAGTTTTGAACTCTCAAATGAACGAAAATATTTTCATACTGATTTAAAAAATATTCAAAACTGAAATTCGACATTAAGAAACTTTGTATACAAATAATTTTTTTTTTTTGACACGTGACGAAAAAATATTGTAATAAAATTTTATTTTGAAAAAGAAACAGACAAATTTCGTTCATTTGAAAATTCAGAACTTATGGAGCGTCAAATTAATTTGTGATCAAATGAGAAAAAATTCTCCGTCTCCAAAGGAAGTAAATTAATAATTTACAATTTTACTGCTTGAAAAAGAAACGAATTGACTAAAAACTTAAATTTAGAGAATAAAAACAAACATTACCTTTTCTGTACTAAAAATATGATCGAATAATTAAATTCACTTTCTCAAGAAATAGTAAATAAATTACAATTTTACTGATTAAAAAAGGAAAAGAAAAAAAATTCAATTGACTAGAGACTCGAAAGAATAAATTTAGAAAATGAAACCTTCTCGCTGTACTCAAATTAATTTATGTTCAAGTAGCAAAAAAATTCTCTCTAAAAAAATAGTAAATAAATAAATTACAAATTTACCGAGTGGGAAGAGAAACAAAAAAAAAAACTTAACAGAATAAATTCGTAAAATAAAAACTAAAATTGTAATTCAGGAAACATCGAAAAATCGAAAAATTACAAATATTGAAAAAATGAATCTATATTCAGCACAGGAAGTGCGAAACTAATTAAATCTATTCAAATAGTTAAAAATTCAAATTACCCATTGTATATAATTTTCACTCTAATGTCGTCGTTTTCTGTAGTTTGCGTGGGCATTCTTGTTTTCTGCAGCCGTAGTCCTTTGCCTAAAAAAAGAAAAAAAAACAAAATCAGTAGGTATACTTGTTTTTTTTTCTCTCTCTCTCTCTCTAAGTATTTAAAAAAAGAAATATTCTCTATTTCTCCAAAGGAGTAAACGTGAAGTTGTAGTATCATATTATTAATATTTATGACATAGTAATTTGAGTGACGTCACGTGTCCGTGATTTTTTTTAAACGACGTAGATGATGTGAGACATTTGCGAATTGTTCCATTTAGATTTGCAATAGACCTTGCAAGTTCTTTTCATTAAAGAAAAAAAAAGAATAACATTCAACCAACAAATAGCAATTAAAGAAATTTCTCTATGAATTAAAAAAAAACATCATTTAAAAACTATTTTTAAATAAGATTCTACTCTTCCTCTTTCTTGACAAAATAAAAAAAACCCTCGAGCTTGAGAGCATGAGAAAAATAATTACCCCCAATAAAATGAAGTGGAGAAAACTAAAAGAGAGATTTAATTAAAATAATTCGAGAATAAAGAAAAAATTCGTTCCTTCGTAATTAATAAACAAAAAATATGTCTTATTCAAATAATAAGAAAAGTTTCAATTTAAGAAACAGATATAAAGAAAAATTTATGAAATTTACTATTTTACTCCTTATGCAATGAGGAAGAAAGCATTAAAAATAGGTACAAGAGCATTCAAGAAGTAGGTATAATAACCAGGAAGAAGGCTCGGCTCAAGTAAAACAAAAAATAAAAAAAAAGATAAAAAAAAGGTAGTTGTACAGTAACGTGTACTCACCTTTAAAAACCCGGCGCAAAGACATTTCAAGGGAGAAATTCGCTTTAAAAAAGAAAACTTCACTTTTTCTGGTTTTACTGAATAACAGTACAAAGTGAGTGCCGGTAGTCATGTTCGTTAAATGTTTATGAATTTCTCTCTTCTTTAGAAAATTGTAAATTATTCACATGTGTAGGAAACGGTTTTTATTGCAAAGACAATAAGACCCCTTTCGTATGTCGAAATAAAATATTCATGAATATTTAAAAACCTCATGTTTATTTCCACTCATTTAACGATTATATTATTTAATAATTAATAATAATAATCCCCAATTTCGCCGAGTAAACCAAGTAAACTTAAGAATAATTAAACGTTATGTAAACTAAACGATTCGAAAGCCACGAGGAAACGGTGCATTGACACAATAATGAACAAGTAAAACCCAAATTGTATACAATTTTTATGTAACCATTTTTAGAAAACAATAGAATAATTAGATAATTGTCGTTTTCCTTAAGAGCCTTCAGATGACAATTACCACTTTTCTCCAGTGAAAATAATTTGGAGAAAATGCAAACTCTCCACCTTAATCTATTTGAACTTAAAAATAATGTAAATTACATTTTTTTTTCAAAAATGAGAATGTAAAAATTTCTTAAATATAAATCAATGAATAATGAAACAACGAGTCATGTTAAATTGTAACTGTCAATCGTCCCCGACACGTTAGGAACTGTCCTGCGACAACTTGACATTAGAAAACCAGAAATCAAACTGGTCTTAGTCGGAGAGAACAAGCGTTTACATGTTTTTAAATTGATGTTATTCTCTCAGACTTTAATTGTCCCCTCTTTTGTACCAATTAACCTCGTTTATATTACATTTACCCTTCTTGTCAAAGATTGACTCACCGTGTTCGTTGAACAATGACATAAAACAATTTCTGTTGCTTCTGGAATTTGGCTATGAATTTTTTTTTAATTTCTTTTAAATGTACTCTTGCAAGTAAATTCACTAGATAATTTTTTATACTAAGGCACGAAATATCTAATAAAACAAAAGTAACTCAAAGTAAAGACATTAAAATAAAATGCAAAACACTATTAACAAGACGCGTTGTCACTTGGCTGCCGCCATTTTTAACTCTAGTCAGCCGATGTTTTGCGAGTTTCAAGACAGATGTCGCGCTACTTTAACGCGCCATTTTTTGAATTTCATTTAATATTCCACAAATTTTTCTTATTTTAATTTCAATTATTATTAATATTAATAGAAAAGAGAAATAAAAAAAGAGACTATTATGTTTATGAATATAAAATTAATCTTAATATTTGTTTTAATTTTAGTATTTAAAATAAATATGAAAAAAATAGCCATGGATAAAGTTCGTTTTTGCTAATTTTTGATTGGTTTCTACTTATGAAGAACTGTTAAAAAATTCCAATTTTTTGAAAATTCGCTAAAAGTAGAACCAATCAAAATTAGTATAAAGCACAGTGGGTTTTAGCGGGAAAATTCGAGTCAATATTCAAATGTTCATTACAATGTCACGTGATCAAGTCAGCTGATTATTGAATTTATTTACAAGAAGCCGGCGAGCGTGGTTGAAGTCTGTTTTTTTGGATCAAAACAATAATATGGATTATTTACAATAAATTGATGCTGTCAATTAATAACTATATCCATAACTAATGTAGTGGTTATTAGTTCATAAAGTGACGAGTTTTCATCGAAATATTAAGGATGTCTACTGCAAAATCAAAAATGCCTTTTCATTCAGTAAAACGAGTACAATTTGGAATACTCTCTCCTGATGAAATTGTAAGTAAATATAAATTTTTTAACAATTTAGATCTAATATAAGAGTAAGAATTCCTGAAGTGTAACAGCAAATTTTGAGATTTACTGTATTTACTTGGTAATACATGAAAATGAAACATAATTATGAGTTAATTAAATGCCTTGAAGGATTTTTCAAAAAAATTAAATTTTACTTTGTTATAAACAATTGAAGTTTTTTGCAGTGTTTTATTAAAAAATTAATATCTCGAAACAGAATAAACGAATCATTATAAAATTTGGTATGTATACTCAGAAAATGATTTAGTTTCAAATGAAATAATTAAAAAATTAAATTGTTTAATTTTTGTAATTGTTATTGCAAATTTAATTGTTTATTTGTAAAATAAACAATGTTCTTAACGTCGTAGGAAGTTCGTTCAAATTTCATCGTAAAGGCTTTTTTATAACGATTCCATACCCGTTTTGAAATTTAGTGTCCCGCAATTAGGAACAAAGTTATGAATTTTTTTCTGCCGGGCGACACGTTTGTTTACCGCGCGGCATGTCCACCGTTACTGCCGCCACAGTGGGGCCAAATGTACTTTTTGTGTCAAAATCAGTCTAGAGGTCACAATTTTCATTCAAATTAAACAATTTTTTTTTTAAATCTTCGTTACTAAATTCTTTATTGATTCCTCCAGGCCGATTTTTTAATTTTTGTTTATTTATATTTATTTGTATGAAAAAACAAAGTATGAAAAAGTCGATATGTTGCTAAAAAATAAAGTTTTTAACATTCAAAAAATTTTTAAGTACATTAGAAATCATGTTTTAGTATTTCTAAAGTAAAATTTTTTATATAATTACACTTTTATTAAATAAACAATACGCTAATTAATTAACTTTTGCAAAAAAGAACATGATTGAAAAAAATTCAATTTGTAGTATATTTCTTCGAGTTTTTTACCCGAAATTTAATGGGTAATTAACATATAAACATGCAGTATTACTTTAATAAATATTTAAAATGTTTAAACAATTTTTTATTGTTAATTGTAAATTATTTCAACATTAACCAACAAAATTTTATTTTTTTTACATTTCTCAACATTTTACGCAGGAAATAATTAAATACAAAAATAAAAGGTATTGTGTAAATATTTAACAATTGTTTAAACAAATTAATTGTTTTTTGGTAAATTTGATTTTAAAAAAATTAAAATTTTGATTTCTTTTTATTTCTGAAATTTTTTCTATTTAAATGAACTAAACTAAAAATTATGGCTTGCAAATGCTAATTTTTATACTTAATTATTTATACTAATGTACTTAAAAATTTTTTGAATGTTAAAAACTTTATTTTATAGCAACATATCGACTTTTTCATACTTTGTTATAAACAAATAAATATAAATAAACAAAAATTAAAAAATCGGCCTGGAGGAATCAATTAAGAATTTAGAAACGAAGATTTAAAAAAAAAAATTGTTTAATTTAAATGAAAATTGTGACCTCTAGACTGATTTTGACACAAAAAGTACATTTGGCCCCACTGTGGCGGCAGTAACGGTGGACATGCCGCGCGGTAAACAAACGTGTCGCCCGGCAGAAAAAAATTCATAACTTTGTTCCTAATTGCGGGACACCAAATTTCAAAACGGGTATGGAATCGTTATAAAAAAGCCTTTACGATGAAATTTGAACGAACTTCCTACGACGTTAAGAACATTGTTTATTTTACAAATAAACAATTAAATTTGCAATAACAATTACAAAAATTAAACAATTTAATTTTTTAATTATTTCATTTGAAACTAAATCATTTTCTGAGTATACATACCAAATTTTATAATGATTCGTTTATTCTGTTTCGAGATATTAATTTTTTAATAAAACACTGCAAAAAACTTCAATTGTTTATAACAAAGTAAAATTTAATTTTTTTGAAAAATCCTTCAAGGCATTTAATTAACTCATAATTATGTTTCATTTTCATGTATTACCAAGTAAATACAGTAAATCTCAAAATTTGCTGTTACACTTCAGGAATTCTTACTCATAAATAAAATTAATGTATTTGACACCCTTCTAACAAAAGTTCATAAGTATAGTAAGAAAATGTTAGGTTATGTTTATATTTTTTCTCGAGTAAAAAAATCAGAAAGAGAATCAATTATTACACTGTAAAAAATGATTTTGTGAGAATTCACTAATGAAATTGTAAGGTTACAAGGATTCTGTAAATTGATAATGTTGGACGTAGTTTGAAAGCAAACAATTTGAAATAAAGCGACGTCTAACGTTGTAATTTTACAAAAAATTTGTTTATTTCAAATTGTTTGCTTTCAAACTATACGTCCAAGATTTTCAATTTACAGAATCCTTGTAACCTTACAATTTCATTAGTAAATACTCAAAAAATCTTTTTTTAGAGTGTACTACAATTTAATGATGTCCAAGTCTGCGTTACATCTACAAAATGTAAAACAACTGGTAAATCGAGTAAATGTAATTAAAATTATATTAAAAATAATTTAATTCATGGCAAGATTTTTACTAAAATTCATTAATTGAATTGTTTTAAAAAATTTATTTCAATTTTCTTAAAAATAATTGAAATTTACAAAGAATTTTATTAAAAACTTTTTAGAACAATTGAATTGTTTAGAAAAATTTTATTACAATAATAATTAAAAAAATAATTTAATTGTTTCGAAGAATTTTATAAAAATTGTTGCAAATAATTGAATTCTTAATAAAACTCTTGAAAATAATTTAATTTAATTAATATTTTCAAACATAATTATATTCTTTCCAGAAATTTAATTAAAATTGTATTGAAAATAATTGAATTCCTCCGAAACATTTTATTATTTATGAAAATAATTGAAATGTTTCGAAGAATTATATCTGAATTTTTGAAAATAGGTAATTGGATTTTTGGAAGGAATTTTATTAAAAATTTTGAAAATAATGATTTTTTTAAAAGAATGTTATCAAATTTGTTGAAAATAATCGAATTTAAATAATATTTTTTTAAATAGTTGTATTCTTTGCAGAACTTTTATTAAAATTGTATTGAAAATAATTGAATTTCTGCAGAGACTTTTATTATTTATGAAAATAATTGAATTCTTACGGAAGATTTTAAGATTCAAAAAAATAATTGAAATCTTTCGAAGAATTTTATGTGAATTTTTGAAAACAATTGAATGTTTGGGAAGAATTTTGTTATCAATTTTAAAAACAGTAATTTTTTAAAGAATTTCAACAAAATTGTTAAAAATAATTGTATCCTTTCGAGAAATTTTATTAAAAATGTTTTGAAAATAATTTAATTGCATTAAAGAATTTTATTATTTATGAGAATTAATGTTAATTCTTGAAATTATAGAAATTTTTAATTTACAAAATAATATAAATCAAACCCTTCTTGTTCAAGAAAGTAAATATAAATTTTACTTTGAAAATTTTATTTTAAGAAAGAATTAAAAAAAATATTTAACAAATGACACAAATTTGTTTTTCTGAATTGTTATTTAATTAGCGGCGTATGTCTGTCACTGAGGAAGGAATTCGATTTACGGAAACATTGGAAAATGGAAAACCAAAGCAAGGAGGACTCATGGATCCAAGACAAGGAGCTATTAACGAGAAATCACGATGTCAAACATGCGATGGACAATTACCTGAATGTCCAGGTCACTTTGGTCATATTAATTTAGCCAAACCTGTCTTTCACATCGGCTTTCTCGCAAAAACGATAAAAATTCTCAGATGCGTCTGTTTTTTCTGCTCGAAACTCTTAATTTCTCCAGTGAGTAAAAATTGAATTTATTTAAAATGTTCTTTAATTCTATACGGATTTCACTTTCATTTTTGTCTTGATATTTTAGAGCGATCCAAATATCAGGAAAATATTCACCGAAACGGAAGATCAGCCTGGTAGACGTCTGACACTAATTCACGATTTGTGCGTAACGAAACGAAAATGTGGTGATAATTCAAAGGAACTTTACGGTTGTGGTCAGTATCAACCGAATTTCAAAACATCTGGTCTCGACCTTCATGTAAAATTTACACAAACTGGAAAAGAAGAAGAAGTACCGCTAACTGCAGAAAGAGTTCATGGAATTTTCAAAAATATCACCGACGAAGTTTCTTTGATTCTTGGTATGGATCCAAAAACCTCACGTCCCGAATGGATGATTTTGACTGTCCTGCCCGTACCTCCATTGTCAGTTCGTCCAAACGTTAAATCGAAAAATTCATCTGTTACGAAACAAGACGATTTAACAACAATATTATCAAACATCGTTAAAATAAATCAATTACTAATCGACAAAAATGATAATAATCCAGAAAATGTAAAACTACTGCAATTTCACACTGCCCTTCTGATTAATAAGGATCTTCCAGAATTGTCTTCAGAATTAAATCCAGAAAGAAATTTAAAAAAAAAGAAACCTTTGAAATCTCTAACAGAACGTTTTAAAGGCCAGAAAGGCAGACTTCGTGGTAATCTACTGGGTAAAAGTGTAAATTTCACAGCACGCTCGATAATCACCCCGGATCCCAATCTGCGAATTGATCAAATAGGCATTCCTCCAAGTGTTGCCAAAAATTTGACATTTCCCGAAATTGTCACACCAATAAATATCGAAAAATTACAAAAGATTGTCAAAAAGGGCGATAAAAGTTATCCAGGAGCTAAATATATTGTCACAGATAAAGGCGAAATAGTAGATCTCAAATCAAACAAAGAAGATTGCGAAATTAAATGTGGATATAGAGTTGAAAGACACATTTGTGACAATGATTTAGTTGTTTGTAGTGAAAAATTTAATATGAAGGGTTACCGAGTTAAAGTATTACCTTGGAGTACATTTCGATTAAATGTCAGCAGTGCATCGGCCCACAATGCTCTTTTCAATTCCGACGAAATAAACTTGCACGTTCCCCAGTCATACGAAACTATAGCCGAAGTGGAAAATCTTGATATGATAGCGGGTCAAGTTAAGACACCAAAAACGATGAAATCGATAATAGGTGTTGTCGAGGATGCATTACTTGGCGCGTTTAAAATAACACAAAAGGATGTTTTCATTGAAAAGAGTGATTTCATGAATCTTCTAATGTTCGTCTCGAATTGGAACGGAGTGATACCACAGCCTTGTATTTTAAAACCAAAACCCCTTTGGAGTGGAAAACAAATAGTTTCTCTATTAATTCCGAAAAATTTTAATTATGATGAACATGATGCAATGGAGAAAGATGAAGGCATTAATTACTTCCTAGAGGAGAGTACTTTTCCGGAGGATGCTTTTCTACTGATCAAAAAGGGACAACTTCTAACCGGTGTTTTTCGTCGATACACAATTGCTCTGAAATACGATTCCATTCCATATTGTTGTATGATGAATTTTGGTCATGAAGTGTGTGTAAGATTTTGTCAGGATCTTCAAAAAGTTACAAACAATTGGTTATTACTTGAGGGACATTCAGTTAGTGTTGGTGACACTATTGCCAATCCTAAGAGTTATAGAGAAATCCAGAAAATAATTAAAAAGGCCAAAGACGATGTTAATGAAATGATGGAACAGTTTTATTATTCGGAAATAGATTGGAGTTCTTTTCATTTACAATCCTTTGAAACTCTGCTATCAATAAATAAACCAATTCGCCTTGCATTGATAGAACATTTACCAAAAAAGAACAATTTTTTGATAATGGCAAAAGCAGGATCAGCTGGAAACTATAAAGAACTAGCAAAAATTTTTGGCTGTCAAGGACAACAAACTGTGCAGGGTAAACGTGTACCTTTTGGCTTCTGTAAACGTACTTTACCACACTTTGTAAAGGATGATTATGGTCCAGAGTCAAGAGGTTTCGTTGACAATTCCCATCTCTCTGGTTTCACACCTTCGGAATTTTATTTTCACGCTATGGAGGGTCGAGATTTTCTCATTGATTCTTACAAGAAATCTGAAGATGTTGGACGCATGCAACGTAATTTGGTGAAGGCTATGGAATCAGTAATGATTCATTATGATGGAACGGTGAGGAATGCAGGAAATCAGTTGCTTGAAATCGATTATGGTTTTCATAATGAAGTTATCGTAGATAAAAATGAATATTCTGTTCTATTGAAAAATGAAGAATTTGAAAAAGAATTTAAATTCGATCTTACGAATGAGCGCGTGCGTGATAAATTTAATGAAAACATTTATCGCGATATGATGAATTCGGAGGAACTTATTTCCGAATTGAAAAAGGAATTTGATCAATTGTGTGAAGATAAAGCAGTGTTTAGAGATAGATGGTCTTATTATCACGTTACACTTCCTTTTAATTTGGAACAAATGATTTATGTTGCACAAAATAATTTTCATACGAAAAATGTGCCTTGTGATTTGAATCCGTTGATGGTTATTCAAGGTGTTAGGGATCTTCTAGAAAAATGTGTTATTGTCAATAGAGATGATAAATTCATCAGAAAAATAAACAAGAATACATTTTTTCTATTTCGATATATCGTGAGATTAAAATTGTGCACCAAAGCCGTCTGTGAAAAATATCAACTCTCAAGCCAAGCCTTCGAGTGGTTGATTCGTGAAATAGAAAATCGGTTCCATCAGGCACTTGCTCCACCTGGTGAAATGGTGGGTGTTTTAGCTGCACAATCAATTTGTGATTCTCTTCCATACATGAGATATAACACTATTGTCCATTACCGTACATCAGAGTTCAGGAAGATCCATGGCGTAACTAGATTAAAAGAAATTATCAGTTGCAGTAAAGTGCTGAAATATCCATCATTAGAAATTCATCTGAAACTTGAGAATTTATCAAATGCCGAGGTATTTTTAGCAGCTCTCTCTCGTATTGAACATACAACACTGAACAATTTGTTATTAAGTTCTGCAATTTATTACGATCCTGATATCAACAATACCGTTATTCCTGAGGATCAAGAATTCGTAAATGTCTTTGAAGAAGTTGACGACCTCGATCCATCGAGTTTATCGCCGTGGTTGCTTCGCTTCGAATTGGATCGAAATAAAATGTTACGAAAAAGAATAAAAATGGAAAATATTGCTGGTAAACTGCATTCAATATTTGGTGACGATTTGAATGTCATGTTTAATGACGACAGTGCGGAGCATTTGATTCTTAGAATTCGAATAGTCAACGGTGATGATGAACTTGATGATAAATTTGAAGAGAGCAGGAAAACGACTGACGAAGTTGAATGTGAAGATGATGTCTTCTTGAAAGGCATCGAGTCTTTTATTTTAAATGACATTTCCATTCATGGTCATGAAAAGATTAATAAAGTGAACATACATGAGGAATTTTTTGAACTGAGAACAGAAGGTACAAATTTAATGAAAGTATTGATCGATAAAGATGTTGATTCAAAGAAAACAATTAGCAACGATATTCACGAGATTTTTAATGTACTGGGTATTGAGGCTGCTAGAAAATCTATAGAGAATGAGATGTCTGAAGTTCTTCCTTACTATGAAGATTATAGAAAGCGGCAACATTTTATTCTGCTGAGTGAAATTATGACTGCTTATGGCCATCTGACGCCTATCAGTCATCATGGATTTGATAGAGAAGATATTGGAGCATTCCTGAGGTAATTTTGACTCTTCGATAATAGTAATTATCTAAATTATGAATAAAATAATTGATAATAAATTAATAATTATACAATAATCTATAATAAAATTGACAATATACTTTCGTTCTAATACCAAATTTATCAGACTAAGCAAATTAGATATTTAATATTCTATCATATTTTCCCTTTTTCAGATGGTCTGCGAAAGAAAATGAAGACGTTTTGTTTGATGCTGCTTGTCATGGAGTGGTCGATCCTCTGAAGGACGTTACAGGAAAAAATATTCTGGGACAATTGCCTCGCATTGGCACTGGTGAGTTCTTTCACTATTTATTCTCAATTAAGAAAATTTTAATAAACGAAAAAAGCTCCGCAAGTTAAGCATTTATTTAAATAATGATATTCATTTATATTTTCACAGGTTGCTTTGATTTGTTACTTGACAATAAAAGTCTACAACGAGAAACGGATGCACAATAGCTGCTTCAGATAACGCTATTAAAAAAATAAGACTGAAGAGAATGTCTAAGTACTTTTTTAAAACAGTTTTAAAAGAAGCTGTTATTTTATAGTTTTAATTTAATTTATGTTTAGTAAATAAGGAATACTTTATTGATTATTTATTTTCATAACAATAAAATAAATAAATGTTTTAAAAAATATAAATTTTGATTCATAATAAGCGTTTTATTTTTTAGTATATAAAAAATTAATATTTTCTTCGACATATTAAAATTTGGAAATTTCTCTTTGATAATACTTTTATTCTACTAATTTATTTAATTGGTTCATTACTTAATTTATTTTGTAATTTCAATATTATTTATTTTATTTTATTATTTATTTACTATTTCAAACAATATGTTTGTTTGTTTGTTAGCAAACCAAAGCAAAGTAGAATTTGTTTTCGCGGGAAAATTGCAAAAATTATTCAAATGGATACGATTTAATGTCACGTGATCAAGTCAGCTGATTGTTGAGAATTCATTGTTTGGAAGCCGGCGTGAGGAGTGATTGATGCGTATTTTCTTTTTATATCCAAACAATAATGGATTATTCACATCAAGTTGTTGATGACAATTAATATAATTATATTCATAACTGATGTAATGGTTATTAATTCATAAAGTGAAGAGTTTTCATCAAAATATCAAGGATGTCTACTTTAAAATCAAAAATGCTTTTTAATTCAGTAAAACGAGTACAATTTGAAATTCTCTCTCCTGATGAAATTGTAAGTAAATATAGATTTTTTAAACAATTTAGATCTAATACAACTAAAATTAATATATTTGAAACCCTCCCAACAAAAGTTCATAAGATAAGCAGCAAGCAATGTTAGGTTATGTTTATAATTTTTACCACTTCTTATAAACATAAGTGTGTCGCACAAGTAAATATACATTTTCCTTTGAAAATTATATTTTAAAAATGAATTTCCAAATATGTTCAATAAATGTCACAAATTTATTTTTCTGAATTGTTATTTAATTAGCGGCGTATGTCAGTCACTGAGGAAGGAATTCGTTTTACGGAAACTTTTGAAAATGGAAAACCAAAGCAAGGAGGACTCATGGATCCAAGACAAGGAGCAATTGACGAGAAATCACGATGTCTAACATGCGATGGACAATTACCTGAATGTCCAGGTCATTTTGGTCATATTAATTTAGCCAAACCTGTCTTTCACATTGGCTTTCTCCCAAAAACGATAAAAATTCTCAGATGCGTCTGTTTTTTCTGCTCGAAACTCTTAATTTCTCCAGTGAGTAAAATTTAAATTTAAATCAAATCTTTTTTAATTCTATACTTATATTACTTTCGTTTTTCTATTCATATTTTAGAACGATCCAACTATCAAGAAAATATTCACCGAAACGGAAGATCAGCCTGGTAGACGTCTGACACTAATTCACGATTTGTGCGTAACGAAACGAAAATGTGGTGATAATTCAAAGGAACTTTACGGTTGCGGTCAGTGTCAACCGAATTTCAGAAGATCTGGTCTCGACCTTCATGTAAAATTTACACAAACTGGAAAAGAAGAAGAAGTACCGCTAACTGCAGAAAGAGTTCATGGAATTTTCAAAAATATCACCGACGAAGTTTCTTTGATTCTTGGTATGGATCCAAAAACCTCACGTCCCGAATGGATGATTTTGACTGTCCTGCCCGTACCTCCATTGTCAGTTCGTCCAAACGTTAAATCGAAAAATTCATCTGTTACGAAACAAGACGATTTAACAACAATATTATCAAACATCGTTAAAATAAATCAATTACTAATCGACAAAAATGATAATAATCCAGAAAATGTAAAACAACTGCACTTTCACACTGCCCTTCTGATTAAGAAGGATCTTCCAGAATTGTCTTCAGAATTAAATTTTGAAGAAAATTTTAAACAAAAGAAACCATTGAAATTAAAAGAATGTTTTAAAGGCAAAAAAGGAAGACTTCGTGGTAATCTACTGTGTAAAAGTGTAAATTTCACAGCACGCTCTGTAATCACCCCGGATCCCAATCTGCGAATCGATCAAATAGGCATACCTCAAACTGTCGCCAAAAATTTGACATTTCCCGAAATTGTCACACCACTAAATATCGAAAAATTACAAAAACTTGTCAAAAAGGGCGATAAAAGTTATCCAGGAGCTAAATATGTTGTCACAGACAAAGGCGAAATAATAGATCTCAAAGGAAACGAAGAGGATAGTAAAATTAAATGTGGATATAAGGTTGGAAGACACATTTGTGACAATGATTTAGTTGTTTGTAGTCATAAATTTGATATGAAGGGTTACCGAGTTAAAGTATTACCTTGGAGTACATTTCGATTAAATGTCAGTAGTGCATCGGCCCACGATATTCTTTTCAATTCCGACGAAATAAACTTGCACGTTCCCCAGTCATACGAAACTATAGCCGAAGTGGAAAATCTTGATATGATAGCGGGTCAAGTTAAGACACCAAAAACGATGAAATCGATAATAGGTGTTGTCGAGGATGCATTACTTGGCGCGTTTAAAATAACCCAAAAGGATGTTTTCATTGAAAAGAGTGATTTCATGAATCTTCTAATGTTCGTCTCGAATTGGAATGGAGTAATACCACAACCTTGTATTTTAAAACCAAAACCCCTTTGGAGTGGAAAACAAGTAGTTTCTCTATTAATTCCGAAAAACTTAATTTACGATGAGTCAGAGTTTTCGGCTAATTTTGAGGATGATTTTATAATGATCAAAAAGGGAGAAATTATAACAGGTACTCTTTGTCGCAACACAGTTGGTTGCTTACGCAATTCCATTCCGTATTATTGTATGATGAACTTTGGTCATCAAGTGTGTGTGAGATTTTGTCATGATCTTCAAAATGTCATTAACAATTGGCTATTATTAGAGGGACATTCAGTTGGTATTGGTGACACTATTGCCAATCCTGAGAGTTATTTAGCAATTCAGGAATTAATGAGAGGTGCCTCATTTGAGCTTTTTAGAATTATGAAAGATGCTTGTTTTTCAGATATGAATTGGAATGATTTCAATTTAGATTCCTATGAAGCTCTGATAATATTAAATAAACATATTCGCAATGCATTAGTAAAATTTTTACCAAAAACGAACAATTTTTTGATAATGGCAAAAGCAGAATCAGATGAAAAATATAAGGAACTGGCAAAAATTATTGGCTGCAAGGGACAACAAACTGTGAAGGGTGAACGTATACCTTTTGGCTTTTGTAAACGTACTTTACCACACTTTAGAAATGAAGATTATACACCCAAGTCGAGAGGTTTCATCCAAAATTCTCATCTCTCTGGTTTCACACCTTCTGATTTTTATTTTCACGCTATGGAGGGTCGAGATTTTCTCATCGATTCTTACAAGAAATCTAAAGATGCGGAACACATACAACGTAATTTAGTGAAGGCTATGGAATCAGTAATGATACATTATGATGGAACGGTGAGAAATGCAGGGAATCAGTTGCTTGAAATCAATTATAGTTATAATTGTTTTTATGATGAGGTTCCCTTATACAATACTGAAAGCTCTGTTACACTGAATAATGAAGAATTTGAAAAAGAATTCAAATTCGATCTAACAAATGAACGTGTACGTGATAAATTTAATAAAAACATTTATCTCGATGTGATCAATTCAGAAGAACTCATTTCCGAATTGCAAAAAGAATTTGATCAATTATGTGTAGATAAAGCTGTGTTCAGAAGTATCATACCTACTTTGATCTGTCCACTTCCTTTTAATTTGGAACAAATGATTTATGTTGCACAAAATGATTTTCAGACGAAAAATGTGCCTTGTGATTTGAATCCGTTGAGGGTTATTCAAGGTGTTAGGGATCTTCTAGAAAAATGCGTTATTGTTAATAGAGATGATAACATCAGCAGAGAAATAAATGAGAACACGCATTTTATATTTCGATATATCGTGAGATTGAGATTGTGCACCAAAGCCGTCTTTGAAAAATATCAACTGTCAAGCCAAGCCTTCGAGTGGTTGATTAGTGAAATAGAAAATCGGTTCCATCAGGCAATTGTTCCACCTGGTGAAATGGTTGGTGTTTTAGCAGCACAATCAATTTGTGAGTCTCTTTCACACATGACCTATCACACTATTAACCATACTGCTACAGCATGGTTCAAAAAGAAGCAAGGTGTCTCTAGATTAAAAGAAATTATCAATTGCAGTAAAATGCCGAAATATCCATCACTAAAAATTCATCTAAAACCAGAAATTCGAACTATTGATAAAGCAGTTTATGCAGTTGCCAGTCGAATAGAACACACGACACTGAAAAATTTGATATTAAGTTCTGCAATTTATTACGATCCTGATATCAACAATACCGTTATTCCTGAGGATCAAGAATTCGTAAATGTCTTTCAAGAAGTTGACGACCTCGATCCATCGAGTTTATCGCCATGGTTGCTTCGCTTCGAATTGGATCGAAGAAAAATGCTACGAAAAAGAATAAAAATGGAAAATATTGCTGGTAAACTGCATTCAATATTTGGCGACGACTTGAATGTCATGTTTAATGACGACAGTGCGGAGCATTTGATTCTTAGAATTCGAATAGTCAACGGTGATGATGATATTGAAGATAAATTTGAAGAGAGCAAGAAAACGTCAGATGAGATTGAATGTGAAGATGATGTCTTTTTGAAAGGCATCGAGTCATTTATTTTGAATGACATTACAATACATGGTATTGAAATGATTCATAAAGTGGGCATAAAGAGAGGAGAACGTCATCAGAAACTGAAAACTAATGGTACAAATTTAGTGAAAGTATTAATCGATAAAGATGTTGATTCAAGGAAAACAATTAGCAACGATATTCACGAGATTTTTAATGTACTGGGTATTGAGGCTGCTAGAAAATCTATAGAGAATGAAATGTTTGACGTTTTTATTTATTACGAATATCATCGAAAGCGGCAACATTTTATTCTGCTGGGTGAAGTTATGACTGCTAATGGACATCTGACGTCTATCAGTAATCACGGTTTTGATAGAGAAGATCTTGGAGCATTCCTGAGGTAATTTTGAATTTTGATTATGACTTGCCCTTTATAGTAATTTTTTCATTTATTACCAAATTAATTGAAAATTATTTTATCAAATATTTTTTATACACTCAAAAATTAACCCGAAAATTGACGATAGATTTTTATTCTAATACCAAAGCAAATCAGAAATTTATTGTTTATTTCTCCTTTTACAGATGGTCTGCGAAAGAAAATGAAGACGTTTTGTTTGATGCTGCTTGTCATGGAGAGGTCGATCCTCTGAAAGACGTCACAGGAAAAAATATTCTGGGACAATTGCCTCGCATTGGCACTGGTGAGCTTTTTCGCTATTTATTCTCAATTAAGAAAGTTTTAGTAAACGAAAAAGCTCTGCAAGTTAAGCATTTATTTAAATAATGATATTTATTTACACAGGTTGCTTTGATTTGTTACTTGACAATAAAACTCTACTAGGAGGAAAGGATGCATAATAGGTGGTTCAGCTAACGTTCTTAAGAAGAAGACTGAAGAGATTGTCTAATTATTTTTCTAAAAGTTTAAGGAAAAGTTCCTCAGATATTATTATATTGATTTATCTAAATTTATATTTAGTAAGTAAGTAAAACTTTACAGATTCTATATTTTTATAGCAATTATATAAAAGAGTTTAATAAAATATAAATTTATTGTATTTGATAAGATGCGTGTTATTTTTTATTATATAAATGGTTAATATTTTCTTCAATACAGTAAATTTTGAAAAAATTTCTCTTTGAAAATTCTTTTACACGAATAATTTATTTAATCGGTTCAATATCATTTATTTTATTTTATTATTTTATTATTTATTTGTTAATATTTAATATTAATGTTTATTAATATTAAATATTTAACAATATTAAATTTGTTTGTTTCTGGGCAAGCTAAAGGAAAACATAATATTTTATTTTCGCGGGAAAATTGCAAAAAATATTCAAATTGATGCATTTTAATGTCACGTGATCATGTCAGCTGATTGTTGTGAATTCATTGTCTAGAATGGTCTAGAAGCCGGCATGAGGTGTGGTTAATGCGTATTTTTGTTTCTTATCAAAATAATAATGGATTATTCACAATAAGTTGTTGATGACAATTATTAATAATATCAATTACTAATGTAGTGGTTATAAATTTATAAAGTGTAGAATTTGCATCGAAATATTAAGGATGTCTACTGCAAAATCAAAAATGCCTTTTCATTCAGTAAAACGAGTACAATTTGGAATACTCTCTCCTGATGAAATTGTAAGTAAATATAAATTTTTTAACAATTTAGATCTAATATAAATAAAATTAATGTATTTGTCACCCTTCTAACAAAAATTCATAAGCAGTAAAAAATGTTAGGTTATGTTTACATTTTTTTCTCGAGTAAAAAATTAAAGAGAATCAATTACTACTACAATTTATTGATGTCCAAGTCTTCATTAAATCTACAGGGTTGCTACGCAACCTGGAAACCAGGAAAACCTGGAAATGTTAGAAAATTTTATAAACCTTGAAAAAACCTGGAAGAGTCAGGGAATTTTGATCGAAATCCTGGGAAGTTGTTGTTTTCTAAAGTTATTTGTGTTTATACTTGAAATCTTATTTCACTTAAATATTTCAAAATTAATTCAATTTAAAAGAGTTGCGTTTACAATTTTCATAAGTAGATAAACTTCAAAAGATTTTGATTTAAAATTTGGAAAAATTTCAATTTTAAATGAATTTAATTAGAAATATTAAAAAACTTAGATTTAAAAAAAATGTTTAAAACTAAAATTCTTCTGAAATTAGTTAAATTTTATATATTTAACTAGTTTTATTAAAAATAATGGATTTATAGAAGAATTTTAGTTAAAAACACTAAAATAAAATTGAATTTAGAAGCAGTTTCAAATGATTGCAGAAATATTCAATTATTTTCCAAAGTAGTAAAATTCTTCTCAGAAATTCAGTTATTTCCAAAAATTTTGATAAAATTCTTGACAAACATTTAATTATTTTTAAAAACTTTCCTCAATCCAATGATTTTTAGTATCTACTGCTTCAATAAAAATTCCTAAAAGAATTCAATTATAGTTTAAAAAATTTAAAATTTATTAAACATAATAAAACTCAATGCTGAATTTCAATTATTTTTAATGCAATTTTAATGGAATTCCTCGAAAAAAGATATTATTCTTCAAAATTTTATTAAAATTTATCAAAGAAATTCAATTATTTTCAAAACTTTTAATAAAATCTTTAGCAGAATTTCAATTATTTTTAATAGGTGCAATTTTCATCAAATTTCTCGAAAAATGCAATTATTCTTAAGAATTTTATTAAAATTTGTCAAGAGAATTCAATAATTTAAATATTTCTTAATAAAATTCTTTATAAAACTTCAATTTTAAGAAATATTCAATTGTTTAATAAAATATTTTATTTTTAGAGTCAAATAATTGAATTCTCGTAAAATTTCAAATTTTTAAAAATCTTAATTTCTATAAAAAAAATAATTATTAAATATTTATTTAAAAACGAAGTTATTGATGTTTTCAAATAATTTTCGTTTTAAAAATCTGGAAAAATTTCGTTTTTTAACCTTTGAAAATTATATTTTAAAAATGAATTTCCAAACATGTTCAATAAATGTCACAAATTTATTTTTCTGAATTGTTATTTAATTAGCGGCGTATGTCTGTCACTGAGGAAGGAATTCGTTTTACGGAAACTTTTGAAAATGGAAAACCAAAAGGAGGAGGACTCATGGATCCAAGACAAGGAGCAATTGACGATAAATCACGATGTCAAACCTGCGATGGACAATTACCTGAATGTCCAGGTCACTTTGGTCATATTAATTTAGCCAAACCTGTCTTTCACATCGGCTTTCTCGCAAAAACGATAAAAATTCTCAGATGCGTCTGTTTTTTCTGCTCGAAACTCTTAATTTCTCCAGTGAGTAAAAATTGAGTTTCATTGAAATGTTTTTTAATTCTATACTCATTGTACTTTCGTTTTTCTATTCATATTTTAGAACGATCCAAATATCAGGAAAATACTCACCGAGACGGAAGATCAGCCTGGTAGACGTCTGACACTAATTCACGATTTGTGCGTAACGAAACGAAAATGTGGTGATAATTCAAAGGAACTTTACGGTTGTGGTCAGTGTCAACCGAATTTCAAAAGATCTGGTCTCGACATAAATGTGGAATTTAAACAAATTGGAAAGGAAGACGAAGGACCACTAGCTGCAGAAAGAGTTCATGGAATTTTCAAAAATATCACCGACGAAGTTTCTTTGATTCTTGGTATGGATCCAAAATCCTCACGTCCCGAATGGATGATTTTGACTGTTCTTCCCGTACCTCCATTGACAGTTCGTCCAAACGTCAAATCAAAAAATTCATCGATTACAAAACGAGACGACTTAACAAAAATACTATCAAAAATCGTTACAACAAATAACAAATTATTAAGCGACGAAATTGCTACTGAAGCAGACGACGTCAGAGAACTTCAATTTCATATTTCCCTTCTGATTGACAACAATCCTTTAGGAGTGTTTTCAAATTTAAATCTGGAAGAAAGTTTAAAAAATGCGTTGTCTTTAAAATCGATAAAAGAACGTTTCAAAGGGCAAAATGGCAGACTTCGTTGTAATCTACTGGGTAAAAGTGTAAATTTCACAGCACGCTCGATAATCACCCCGGATCCCAATCTGCGAATCGATCAAATCGGCATTCCTCAAAGTGTCGCCAAAAATTTGACATTTCCCGAAATTGTCACACCACATAATATCAAAAAATTACAAAAACTTGTCAAAAATGGTGATGAAAAATATCCAGGAGCGAAGTATATTGTGACAGATAAAGGCAAAGTAATAGATCTCAAATCAATCGGAAAAGATTGCGAAATTAAATGTGGATATAGAGTTGAAAGACACATTTGTGACAATGATTTAGTTGTTTGTAGTCGTCAACCGAGTTCTCATAAATTAAATATGATGGGTTATCGAGTTAAAGTATTACCTGGGAGTACATTTCGATTAAATGTCAGTTGTGCATCAGCCTACGATGATCATTTCAATTCCGACGAAATAAACTTACACGTTCCACAGTCTTATAAAACAAGAGCCGAAGTGGAAAATCTTCGTATGATATCGGGTGAAGTCGTAACAAAACAAGCGAATAAATCAGTAATAAGTATTGTCGAGGATGCGTTACTAGGTGCATTTAAAATAACCCAAAAGGATGTATTCATTGAAAAGAGTGATTTCATGAATCTTTTAATGTTCGTCTCGAATTGGGACGGAATAATACCACAGCCTTGTATTTTAAAACCAAAACCCCTTTGGAGTGGAAACCAAGTAGTGTCTCTGTTAATTCCGAAAAATTTAAATTACGTTCAAGGGACATTTTCCAGTGATGATGAGGACAGTGATTTTGAAGATGAGAGCACTTTTCCCGAGGAAGATACAGTAACGATAAAAAAGGGAGAAATTATAACTGGTTGTCTTTCGGAAGACACACTTGGTTGTGTGCACAATTCCCTTCCGTATGTTTGTAGAATGAACTTTGGTCATCAGGTGTGTATGAGATTTTGTCAGGATTTGCAAAACGTCATGAACAATTGGTTATTAATCGAGGGACATTCAGTTGGTATTGGTGACACAATTGCCAATCCTTCTAGTTATTTAAGAGTTCAGGAAATAATTGAACAGACCAAAGAAAATGTCATCGATATTATTATTCAGGCTCACTGTGTAGAAATTGATAGGAATACTTTCAATCTTAAATCCTATGAAACTTCGATTTCAGCAAACGAAAAAATTCATACTGCTTTAAGAAAATATTTACCAAAACCGAACAATTTAATCATAATGGTAAAAGCTGGATCAGCTGGAAAAGATGAGGAATTGAGAAAAATTATTGGCTGCAAGGGACAACAAACTGTGGAGGGTGAACGTATACCTTTTGGCTTTTGTAAACGTACCTTACCACATTTTATAAAGGATGATTACGGTCCCGAGTCGAGAGGTTTCGTTGACAATTCCCATCTCTCTGGTTTCACACCTTCGGAATTTTATTTTCACGCTATGGAGGGTCGAGATTTTCTCATTGATTCTTACAAGAAATCTGAAGATGTTGGACGCATGCAACGTAATTTGGTGAAAGCTATGGAATCAATAATGGTAAACTATGATGGAACGGTGAGAAATGCACAGAATCAGTTACTTCAAATCTATTATGGCAATAAAGGTTTTCACGACGAAGTCCTCGTAAATAGCGAGGAAACGGCCATTGAACATAACAGTGAAGAATTTGAAAAAGAATTTAAATTCGATCTTACGAATGAGCGCGTGCGTGATAAATTTAATGAAAACATTTATCGCGATATGATGAATTCGAAGGAACTTATTTCCGAATTGAAAAAGGAATTTGAACAATTGTGTGAAGATAAAGCAGTGTTTGAAGATAGAAGGTTTAATTTTCAGGTTCCACTTCCTTTTAATTTGGAACAAATGATTTATGATGCACAAAATGATTTTCAGACGAAAAATGTGCCTTGTGATTTGAATCCGTTGAGAGTTATTCAAGGTGTTAGGGATCTTCTAGAAAAATGCGTTATTGTCAAAGGAGATGATAAAATCAGCAGAGAAATAAATAAGAATACGCATTTTCCATTTCGATATATCATGAGATTAAAATTGTGCACCAAAGCCGTCTTTGAAAAATATCAACTGTCAAGCCAAGCCTTCGAGTGGTTGATTAGTGAAATAGAAAATCGGTTCCATCAGGCAATTGTTCCACCTGGTGAAATGGTTGGTGTTTTAGCAGCACAAACAATTTGTAATTCTCTTTCGCACATGCCCTATAATACTTTTCACCATACTGGTGCAACAAAGTGCTTCGAAGTGTATCAAAAATACCTCCAAGGCGTGACTAGAATAAAAGAAATTATCAATTGCAGTAAAATGCCGAAATATCCATCATTAACAATTTATCTGAAACCAGAGATTTCAGGAGACGTCGATGTAGCTAAAAGTGTTCTCTCTCGTATTGAACACACGACACTTAAAAATTTGTTATTAAGTTCTGCAATTTATTACGATCCTGATATAAACAATACCGTTATTCCTGAGGATCAAGAATTCGTAAACGTCTATCAAGAAGTATTGGAACTTGATCCGTCGAGTTTATCGCCGTGGTTGCTTCGCTTCGAATTGGATCGAAATAAAATGTTACCAAAAGAAATAAAAATGGAAAACATTGCCAATAAACTCTATTCAATATTTGGCGAGAATTTAAATGTCATGTTTAATGACGACAGTGCGGAGCATTTGATTCTTAGAATTCGAATAGTCAACGGTGATGATGATGAGATTGAATGTGAAGATGATGTCTTTTTGAGACGCATCGAGTCATTTATTTTAAATGACATTGCAATACATGGTCATGAAATGATTAAGAAAGTGCATTTAGATATGAGTGAACAAAGTGTTACAAATTACAACAAGGAAAGTCAAATGATTGAAACAAGAGCCAATCATAGGCTAAAAACTGAAGGTACAAATTTGATGAAAGTATTGGTCGATAAAGATGTTGATTCGAAGAAAACGATTAGCAACGACATTCACGAGATTTTTAACGTTCTGGGAATTGAGGCTGCAAGAAAGTCTATTGAAAAGGAGATGACTAAAGTTTTTGAAAATTATTCATATCATAGAAAGCAGGAACATTTTATTTTGCTGAGTGAAGTTATGACTGCCAATGGCCATCTAACGTCTATCGATAATCACGGATTTGATAAAGAGGATCTTGGAGCATTCCTGAGGTAATTTTGAATTTTGATTATGACTTGCCCTTTATAGTAATTTTTTCATTTATTACCAAATTAATTGAAAATTATTTTATCAAATATTTTTTGTACACTCAAAAATTAACTCGAAAATTGACGATAGATTTTTATTCTAATACCAAAGCAAATCAGAAATTTATTGTTTATTTCTCCTTTTACAGATGGTCTGCGAAAGAAAATGAAGACGTTTTGTTTGATGCTGCTTGTCATGGAGAGGTCGATCCTCTGAAAGACGTCACAGGAAAAAATATTCTGGGACAATTGCCTCGCATTGGCACTGGTGAGCTTTTTCGCTATTTATTCTCAATTAAGAAAATTTTAATAAACGAAAAAAGCTCCGCAAGTTAAGCATTTATTTAAATAATGATATTTATTTACACAGGTTGCTTTGATTTGTTACTTGACAATAAAACTCTACTACGAGGAAAGGATGCACGATAGCTGCTTCAGCTAACGCTCTTTTTAACGCTCTTTTTTTTTAAAGAAAAAGACTGAAGAGAAGGTCTAATTATATTTTTTTCAACAGTTTATAAAAAATCGAAAAAGTGACTAAGATTAGTATATTAATATTATTAAACGTTTGTTTTAATATAATTTTTATTAAGTAAAGATTTCTATTTAGTAAATAAATAATGCTAAATAAATTATGTATTTTTATACCAATAAATAGAAAAAGTTTAATAAAACTTAAATTACGATTGATAATGAGCTCACTATTTTTTATTAAATTTATTTTATTTTTTATTTAATAATTACACTTTTTTTACTAAACATATAATTGATAAAAAAAATATTGTAACATGAAATTCGAAAAAATTCCATAAAAAGCAAATTTTTTCATTATTAACACGAATAATTCTAGAAATTTAAGTATCGTTATATTTTTTCTTTTAACTTTTTTTAATATGATAATAATACCTACATTTTTTTCGAAACTTAAATCAAGAAAAAAAAATTTTTTACTGTTTCATAAAAAGTTAACAATTAAAATAAAAAAAAACAAATGAACTCAGTTTCAAGAAGTCAGAAAAATTCCCTATCTTTCAAAAGAAAAATAAGAAGAAATGTGGGACTGCAAACTTGAAAATAATACAAAAACACAAATTCTTGATGTGGATTTCGGATTAGTAGAAAATGGAAAGACTGGTTTTAAAATTGTTAAATTATTTAACAAAACGGATGTAAGTAAATAGTGAATAAGTTTATATTGTACTCCAAAATTTAATAAAAATTAGATAGGTTACTTAAATAAACCTTTTTTTTTATTAATTTAGGTGGAAAAGTCATACGAGGTGCAAAGGGATCCTTCAACAAATCCAATAGATAATGTCTTCGTAATGAAGGAATATTCTTGGCTATTAGATTCTGGATGTGAATATTCGTGTCACATGACTTATCAACCACGTGTGCCATTTTGCAAAAATACTGATTATTTCACAATAGTCGACAATGATGGAATTGAATGTTTGAAAATTGTCGCCAAAGGAATTAGCACAGGTCTCTTTCTTTTTTACTTTCTGTTTGAATATAAAATAATTTTTTTGTAATTTTTCATTTATTTATTTATTATTTTATTTATTACTTTTATTATTTATTATTTGTTACAAATTCATAAATTGTATTTTTTTTAGGTCCAAAGATTGAATTTTCCAAAACAAAATTGATATTTTATTTAGACGAGGGAGAAAAAGAGGAATCAATGAAGAGGGAAATAAAAATTAGGAACATTTCGAAAGTGCCAGCAATTTTTCAATTTGATGTCGACGAGGAGCATTGTTCTTTTAAAGTAACTCCTTTAACTGGTGCGATTGAACCGTCTTCATTTATTAATATCACAATTTTCTTCGTTCCTTCTGCGACTGGAATCTTCACCTATTATCTACCTTGTTTATTTCTCAATCACGTAAGATTTATTTTTTCTGCACATTAATTTACTTAAATTAATTTTTTTTAATTGTCTATTTCAATTATTATTCAAATTATATTTTTTTGTTTAACTTTATTTTTAATTCGATTACTAAAAACCAAAATTAAATTTTTCTTTTATTATTTTTTAAAAATTTCTTCAGAAAAGATTTCTTTTCTTGCACATTGATTTATTTAGATGTAATTTTTCTAATTCTATCTATTTAAATTATTTTTATTTGTTTCACTTAATTATTAGGTATTAATTAATGAATTAATTAATTTTTATTTATTATTAATTTTTATTTATTTATTTATTTATTATTAATTTTTAGTTATTTATTTATTGTCAATTTTTATTTATTTAATTACTAAAGATGAAAATTAACTTTTTCCTAATTAGAGACCAATGATGATTGAATTGTACGGCTGCCTTGGATCAGAATACGCCAGTAAAAATGAATTTCAACGGGATGTTTTAGCTTTTGCTCTGCCAGAGCAAGAAGGATATGAAAATTACATGAATAACGTGAGTAATGTTCGAAGGAGGGAACCGCCATTAATTTCCTTATCAAATAATTACATTGACTTTGGACAAGCATCTATTGGATTTAAAAATTACAATCGCAGACCTCCTCAAACAGTCTGCTTTTATAATCATTCTTCAATAAATTTTCATCTAACGTGGGGAAAAGGTATTAAATTTAGAGAAAAATTTGAGGAAACAAATTCAAAATTTACATTATTTTTCTCTTTCTACAGTAAAATCTAATATTTTCAAAATAAATCCCCCTGATATCGAGGTTAATGAGCAAAATTCATTTCTATTTGAAATCAGTTTTAATCCTCGTGAAGAAAATTCTTTCTACTATGGAGAAATTTTACTCAATATTTTTAGAATTGAGGAGAAACAATTGACAATTCCGATGGTATTGCCTCTGAGAATAATGGGTACAAAATATATTTTAATATTTTTAGTATTTTAATATTTTTAGTATTTTAATATTTTTAGTATTTTAATATTTTTAATATTTTAATATTTTAATATTTTTAATATTTTCTAATTGTATTTATATCAAATATTTAATTTTATAACTAATTAAGTTTCAATTGTTAATTATCGTTCAAAATAGGTCATTCATTTCGTAAAGGAACAAAGAGACCAATTTCCCATTACAAAATTCCGCAAATTGTTACAATGCCCGCATGTTGTCCGAACTATCCAGTCTACACGACATTTTTAATAACAAAACTAGAGAGTCAATCTCCCCTGATGTTTCATTTTTTACCACCAAACCCCACTCACTTCACAGTGAAACCAATGTTGGGAATAATTTACAAGTATTAAATCTTAATTATTATTCAAAAAATTTGATTATAGAATATTTTGCCCTCAATTTATTGTTTATTAAAGAGATTATCAAATAGTAACAGTTGAGTTATTTCCTGAAGATGATGAACATTTATATTACGAACGATGGGCGATTCAATTCAATGACTGTGAAAAATCGAAAGATTTTATTGACTTTAAAGGATACGCGGAATATTTGAATCTACAATTTGAAACTGATAATTGTTTTTCATTTGATCCTGTTTTTCCCGGATGTCGTCAATTTCGTCAAGTTTCGGTTAGAAATATTACACGACACTGCATCAAGTATGTTATGGTAATTGAAAGTTAATTTCAATCAGAAATAGAAAAATTTGTATTTTTAAAAAATTATTTTTTTAGATACTCATTTGAGGATTTACCAGAGGAGATAAAAATCCAAAGTAAGGAGGATATTATTAATCCGAATGAAACAATTTGGCAAAAATGGATGTTTCATCCTTTGGAAATTGGAAATTATAATTTCAATGTCAGTTGTAAACTGATTGCAGTCGATGGCGAAACAATGGAAGTGAAAGATTCTCCAAATAAAATGCATCATGTTAAAGTAACAGGAGTTAGTGAGGAAGGAAAACTAATGGTATAATTTTTTCCATTTCTTTACTAATGATTAATTACTATAATGACTAATTATTATTAATTCAGGGTTGCCACAAAAAATTAATTTTGTTTTTCCCTGATTTCCAGACAAAATTTTCATTTTTTCAAAGTTTCATTTTTTCTTTAAAGAATATTCTGATTCACTCTAAAAATTATTAGATATTAAAAAAAAATTTATTACATTTACTTACGAATTTCTTTAATTGTAAAATTATTTGCAAACATCAATAACTTCATTATTTTTAAATAAGTATTTAATTATTATTTTTCCATAGGAATTAAAATTCTTCAAAACATTTAAATTCAAACATTTTTAAAATTCAACAGCTTATAAGAATATTATTATAAAACATGAAGATATAAATCACTCCGAGTCTTCGACTAGGAGTAATTCATATCTTTTATTTATATAAATTTTATATAAATTTCGATTTCCATAAAATGTTTAAAAAGAAAAATTAAATTATTTACAAAAATTATAATAAAATTCATTGCAAGAATTCAATTACTTTCATTGTAAATTAATAAAATTCTTCACAGGGTTTCAATTATTTTTAATAGAATTTTAAATAAATTTCTCGAAAAATGAAATTATCTTCAAAAATTGTTTGCAAGAATTAAATTACATTTCACAAATAATGAAATTCTTCGTTGAATTTCAAAAATTTTCAAAATTTACTATTTTAATAAAAGTTTTTAAAAGAATTTAGTTATTTAAATAAAAAGTAATAAAATTCGTTGCAGGAATTCAATTATTTTCACAAGTAATAAAATTTTTCATATGAATTCAATTGTTTAAAAAAAAAATTTGATAAAGTTCGTTATTAGAATTCCATTATTTTCATAAATTATAAAATTTTTCTGAGGATTTAAATTATTTTTAATGCAATTTAAAATAAAATTCTTGAAAAATGGAATTATTTTCTTAAATTTTTGGCAAGAACTCAATTACTTTCATAAATTAATAAAATTCTTCACAGGATTTTAATGATTTTTAATACAATTTTAAGTAAATTCTTCGAAAAATGTAATTATTTTCAGAAATTTTATTAAAATTCTTCGAAAGAATTCAATTATCAATTATTTTAAAAAATTCATGCTTTAATGCTTTTAATATATTCATTAATATTCATTTTTAAATCAATTTTTATTGGAAAATTCTACAAGAATTCAATTATTTAAATACAAAAATAAATAATTTACTGAATAAATGAATGTTTCTCTAAATTGAATTATCATAAAAAATTTTATCAACATAATTGAATTTTTTCGAGGAATTTTAATAAAATTTTCAGGAATGATTAAATTTTAAGAGGAATTTGATTAAAATTGTATTAAAAATAATTGAAATTCTATGATGAGTTGTATTATTCATGAAAATAATTAAATTTTTGTAAAAAATGTTATTACTTATGAAAGTTACTGAATTATTTTTGGAAGAAATTTATAAAAAATTTGTAAATAGTTGAATTCCTGTGTAATTTTTATTATCCATGAAAATAATTTAATGTTTGCTTAGAATTTTATCACCATTTTTTTTTTAAATTGAATTTTTTTTAAAAATGTTATTAAAATAGTATATATTGAAAATCATTGAATTGAGGAAAATTTTTTGAAAATAATTGAAATTTTGCAAAGAATTTTATTAAAATTTTTGAAAATAATTGAAATTTAGAGAAGAATTTTATTATTTTTAAAGATAATTGAATTTTGACAAGAATTTTTTTTTAATTTTTGAACATAATTGAATTTTTGCAATTATTTGTAACTTCTCCAAAATTTAATTTTTTCCAGTACTTTAATAAAAATCTCTGACTTTTCCCTGATTTCCCTGACTAATTTTACTTTCCCTGACTTTTCTCTGAATTCCCTGACCTGTGGCAAACCTGTAATTACTAAATTTAATTAATTACTAATCTTTACTTTAAATTTTTTTTATGAATTTAATTTTAATTAATTAACTAAATTACCTTAGATTACTTAAAAATCATTAAAATTATGAATATTATTTTGTAATTAAAAGGCAACACCAGATGAACTCATTTTTGACGAATTAGCCGTACAGAATTCGAAAACTCTCAACTTCGAACTTATTAATTTGAGTCGTGTAGTTGTACACTTTATATTATCAACAAAGCAGAAGAATTTTCCCATTGGATGTCTCGAGAAAGATGTGAAAATTTCACCGCAAATTGAAACAATTTTACCGCAAGAAAAAATGATAATCAACGTCATACTGACTCCTCACGAAAATGGATTTTATGAGTTTTATGTTCAATATTCAGTGCGAGTGGATGCGAATTCGGAGAAATTGGTTTTGAATAATGAACCAGAAAATATTTGTCACGTCAATTGCGCCAGTGTCCATCCAACTTTAATCGTAAATATTATATTTTTAACAGTCTAGAGATAATTATTATATTTTTTACTTGAAAGTGGAGAGAAATTTCTCTCGCACTTGAAAGAGGGAAGAAATTTCCCTCGAACTTAAAAGAGGAAAAATAAATATTTTTAATAGGTGAAAGATCTTTTGTACTTTGCATCACAACCTGGTATCAGTAAAGTTTCTCTCTGGAAATCGATGAAAATTAATAAGTGAGTACAAAAAAACTGCATAAAGATGATAAAATTGTTTTTTAAAATTATTTTAATGAATATTGATTACGACGAAAATATTGATAATGAATATTGATGAAATAATCAAATTTGATGAATTTATAATACATTTTTTTCCAGGTTCAACAAAATTTTGCAAGATTTAAAAACAAATTGCAAATCTACTTTAGAAATGACATTTCCCGTATTTACAATTCATGAGGAACCACTTCGCATTGTACTTCTTTTAACGAATCCAACGAAATTTCCAGTTTCCTGGTCTTTGAAAAGGATTCAAATTTGTTCGTGTGAGAAAAAATTGAAATCACGAAGTTTATCATTTCAAAGTGTGGTTTATGATTGTGTGCATAGGGAAATATTTAAAATTTATCCTAAATCAGGAACAATTCAGGTGAGCATTTTAATTATTTTATTCTCTTCTTAATTTCAAAACGAAAATTATAAGAATTTGTTATTTTTATTCTCTTATTATTTTCAAAAAGAAAAAAATATGAGAATTTGTTAATTTTATTCTCTTATTATTTTCAAAAAGAAAAAAATATAAGAATATGTTTAATTTACTCTCTTACTACATAACTTTCAAAAAAATTATAAGAATTTGTTAATTTTTTTTCTTTTTTGAATAAAACAGACACGGGGAGAGGAAAGACTTTCGATGGAGATTCGCTATAATTTATTGGGAATAACTGAACTCGAGTGGGAATTAATTTTAACTGACAATAGACGTATTACTTTAAAAGTCAACTTAAGATGTGTTTCTGAAGAATGTGATGAACTCTTTTTTCAGGACACACTTTTATCATTCGATAAAGTTCACATTGGAGATTTAAATCCGATTCATCAGGTAACTCTAATGAACTAAATGGAACTAAATCGATTTTTTTATTTAAATTTCTGTTTTTGTACGAATTTTTTATACAGGATTTTATGATTCTCGTAGAAAAATGTATATATATTTTTTAATTTTCTAGATGTGCTGGTTGTATAACAGTACTAAACGGGAAATTTCCTACAGTCTGGATGTAAATACTTTAAAAGAAATTAATAGGAAATTTTGTGCAGATATTTTCACTTGTGTCAATCCTTCGGGTTCTTTGAAAGGAATGTCTCATCAACCAATTATTTTTAAATATCATCCACGGCAATTTCAAGAATATTTGGTAAATTCTGTTACTGTAATCAATTTCCTCGTCCATTTAATAGATATTTTAATTTAATTTAATTTAATTTTAAATTTATATTAATTATTATTATTTAGTAAATTATGTTATTTAAATTAATTTCTATATCAAATTTAATTTAATTTAATTAAAAATTGTTTAGTAAATCCTGTTACTTAAATTAATTTCTATATCAAATTTAATTTAATTGAATTTAAAATTATTATCATTATTTAGCAAATTCTGTTATTTAAATTAATTTCTACTTCAAATTTAATTTAACAATTTAATTTAAGATTATTACTATGAATTTAAAATTATTAATTTCCAATTTAATTTTGATCTTTTAATTTGTTATTTTTTTAGTGTTGTAAAAATAGTTTCAAATTTCATCTGTTTTCTTCTGTATTTTTCTGTATAAATTAGTAAAAAATTAAACAGCACTCGAAAAAACAATTTAAATATTATCCAAGAAAATTTCCAATAAGTAGCTACAGATTTTATACAAATGGTAATGAAAATCTATATTTATTTTTGATTTAAAAGATAAAAATCCCATTAAAACTTGGCAAAAAGGAAACAGAGTTAATCATAAAAGGAGAGAGTTCCCGAGATCCGATAACTAAAGTCGTCGAAAGAATTTCTCCTTATCAGGATAAATTCTCAATACCGGAAGTACCAGTCTATTTTAATACCGATAGTCTCACTCTTTCTCCATTAACAACGCAATCAACAATTACAAGAATGATCATGATTCACAATCGTCATCCTCAAGATATACTTGCATACACTTGGGAAAGGTTAAAATCAAAATTTAAAATTTGTTTCATTATTCAATAGTAATGGTAATAATAAATAAATAAATAAATAAATAATAATAAATAAGTAATAATAATAATAATAATAATAATAATAATAATTTTTTCATTACCTAATAAATAATAAATTTTCATTACCTAATAAATGATAAATATTAATACCAAATATTAAATAATAAAAAAACCTATAGACAATAAAACGAAAATTAATAATGACAGAAGAAGAATTTATAATTATGTCTATTTTTGATATTTAATTAAATTATCTTCAGCTCTGAAGTTCCGGAAATTATTAAAATTAGCATTCATCCATCGAGAGGAAGAATACAATCTCTAAAAATGCAGACATTTTTGTTAACCGTAATTACCGGCCCTCGACCATCGAAAATAACAATTTGTCTCAATTGTAAATTCATCAATATTAGTGAGAAACGTCTTTATGAAAAGGAAATTTTATCTTCGTTGCATACGTTGAAATCTTTAGAAAACAATTTTACTATCACGGAAAAAGGAATTTATTATCCGGTATTAATTTCTAATAAATTCAGAATTATGAATTTAAATTACAAAATGAAACAAAAAAAAAGTTACAAAAATATTCTAAACTGTATTCAATAATAGCGATTTTATTATATTACCAGAAATAATTGATTTTAAATTCAATTAATAAATAGTAAAAAAAAATTATTACTCATAAAAAACAGATGTAAAAATTACAATCAAAAATAATATTATTATAAAAAATTAGAAATAAAAAGTAAATAATTGTTTTATACAGAAAGATGTACAAGAGAAGAGAGAGAATTTAAAACCAAGCGCACCATTTTACAAAGGTTTGACGATTCGCGCCTTTATTTACAGTAAAGAAGATTTTGAAATGAAAGCAACATTGGAACAACAATTAAAATTGATGCCTACAAATGAAATTAAGTTGCACAGCGTGAAAAAAGGAGCAATTGTTACTGAAAATAGTTTAAGAGTGTCTGGATTTATTCTAGAATGCATAATTTGGTAAAATTGTCTAGTATTGTAAAAATTAATATCAACATTGTTTTTAAAAATTATTTTTTTAATTAAAAATTTTTTTCTCTTTTTAGGGATATTTTGAATAGCAGAGAATTTCAATATCTTATGAAAGAAGTTAAAAATGACTCAACGGGTGTGAAATACTCACAAATAGTAATTGATTCAAGAAAAAGGAAAGCATTGGTGAGAAAATCTTTTATTAAACCACCGAAAAGTATGATTGAAAATATATTACAGACGGTAAGTTTATTTAAAAGAAAAAAATATAATTCTCATATCGAATACTCTTTACCGAATCTTTCTTATTTTTCATCTTCTGACGTCTAGATTAAAAAAATGATTCTCCTCCAATATATTTAATTTAAAAAAATTTGTTTTTTCGAAATTTTTATTCTAATGATTTATTTTAATATTTAGTAGATCAAATATTTAATTTATTTTAAAAATTTTAAATCTATTTGAAAATTAAATGTTTGTAAAAAAATATTCTAGATGATATTCACCATAATTCATGAAGAATATGGCCTGGACAGAAATCATTTAGTCGAACCAATTGACATAAGGCAACCAAGACAACTTACCTATAGAAAAAAATCGTCCGGCACCCAAATGAATCGGTTCTCGCAATTGTGATTATTATAAGTGTCATTAAATTTTAAGTCTCAAAAAAATTACTTGAAACTTGAATTAACTTTAAAAAAAAGAGGATGGTTTATTTTAAAATAAAATTTTCTCATCTTATCAACTTCCTTCTTGTTCGAAGGGATCACAAATTCGCTTAAATACAGCTAAAAATTTATCTCCTTTATTTCGCGACACTTTCTGTCCTTCTTCTGTACTCTCGTATAATTTCTCGACAATTGGATCATCGTTCTGTGAAAAAAATTAGAATACATAATTATAAAATCTATTTGTATATAATAGAGCAAAAAAACAAATTTTTTTGCATGAAGAAAAAATAAAAAACAAATCAATTTGCTTGGAGAAAAAAATAAAAAACAAATCTATTTGCTTGGAGAATAAAATAAAAAACAAATCTATTTTCTTGGAGAAAAAATATAAAAAACAAATCTGTATGATGGAGAAAAAAATATTTTTAACTTACAAGTTGATCGTCAGGAATTCTTTTAAATAACGGATGCTCCTCGAAATGATGAACCATCCATTCATGTAAATCTTTAACGTCAGTCATCGTATATACAATTGCCTGCAAAAAATTTTTTTGAAATTCAGAAAAAAAGAATAATAAAAAAGATACAAATAAGAGAATTGTAATAATAATAATTTCAAATATTACATAATTCAAATTAAAAAAATGTAAAATTATATTCTTTGGCACTGTTTTATTAATTATTAATATTTGATATTGAAACCTACATTTTCTGCGAGAACATATCCATATTCGGCTAATAGTGTTTGATTAATAATTCGCCATTTATGTTTAGCCTTCTTGAAATGAGGATCGGGATAAAGAAAGAACATTTTCTTCAGCTGTGAAATATAAATATGAAAGTAAATATTTTAACAGGCTTCGTACTCGATAATTAATTTTAAAAAAGTAGCAAAAAGTACCTTAAAGACAGAAAAAAGTAGCTATCGAAAAATTAAACTTGACGTCTCAATTTTTTTTTATAATTTCTTAATTACATTCAAAAATAGAATAATTTTTTAAAATAAATCTTTAAATATCTATTTATTTTATCTACAGGAATTAAAATATTTCAAATGATTTCAATGTAACGCATTTTTGAAATTTAACCATTTCTAAAAATTTCAAAAGTAATTCTTTCAAAATTCAATCATTTTTTTGTTGAAATTTATAAATAAAATTATTCAAAACTTTAATCATTTCATTTTATTCAATTATAAATCAATTCTTATTAGAAAATTCTACGAGAATGAAATTATTTAAATAGAAAAATAAATAATTTATTAAATAATTGAATATTTCATAAATTTGAAATCTTATAAAGAACTTTATCAACATTTTTTTTAACAATTGAATTTTTACGAAGAATTGCATTAAAATTGTTAATAATAATTAAATTCATTCAAGAAATGTAATTAAAAATGAATTGAAAATAATTATTGCACTCTAAGAAACAAATTGCATCAAATTTTTTAAAATAATGGAATTTTTACGAAGAATTTTCTTCAAATTTTTAAGATAAATTGCGCTTTTAGTGGAATTAATTTAAAATTATAATAAAAATAATTGAAATCCTGTGATGAGTTTTATTATTTATGAAAATAATTTAATTTTTGGTACCGAACTTTAATAAAGTTTTTAAAATGATTGCATTTTTGAAAAGAATTTAAAAAAAAATCTTTTTAAAGAAATGGTTTTTTTCAAAAAATGTTATGAAAATTGTGTTTTAAATAATTGTATTTCTTTAAAAATTGTATATTATTTATAAAAATAATTGAATTCTTTCAAAGAATTTTATTAAAATTTTTAAAAATAGTTGCATTTTTCGCGGAATTAATTTAAAATTGTATTAAAAATAATTAAAATCCTGCGATGAGTTTTAATATTTATAAAAATAATTGAATTCTTGCAATGATTATTATTAAATCTAACAAATGTTACGCGCGGAACGTGATTTTCAATCTATTATTATTATTATTATTATGCAAATTACAAAATTTTTTTATTTCAAATATCAATTTTTGAATAATTTCATATTCAAACATTTAAAAAATTCAATTATTAACTAATTTACTAATTATTCTTGTTTATTAATTTCAAAAATTTTAATAAAATTTTTCACAAGAATTCAATTATTTTCATAAATAATAACATTCTTCGTAAAAATTCAATTATTTTTATAAATAGTAAAATTTTTTACAAGAATTCAATTATTAGTTTTAATCAAAATGTTAACCGAATTTCACGAACGAATACAATTATTTTCTAAAATTTTAATAAATCCTTCTAAACAATTAAATTATTTTAAAAAAATAGTAAAATCTTTGCAAAAATTGAATTATTTTCAAAAAAATTTCACAAAAGAATTCAATTTTTTTTTAATTCGTTATAAAATATTTGGAAAAAATTCAATTATTTTCTAAAATTTTAATAAAATTCAATAATGAAATGTTCAATTTAAATTATTAACAAACACGATTATTTTAAAAGCTTGAAAGAAATTGTTCATAAAATTCAATTATTTTCAAAATTTTTAATTAAAATTATTAAAGAAACTTTATTATTAAAAAAAATTTCAACTGTTAACAAATTTAAAGTAGTATAAATTCTCAAACATAGAAGAAAGTTGCTTTTACTGTAACAAATAAAAAAAAGTATTCAAATAAGTAGCAAATCGTAAAAAAAGGTAATAAATAGTAGGTTTCAGTAGATGAATGCAAGGCCTGTTTTAATGGACTATTTTTTTGAAAGAGAAATTAAAGAAAACTCGAATAAAAAAAATACCTGTCCTTTGTGAAAATAATTCGGCAAATATTTCATGGCATTCGTTCTTATGCAAGCAACATTTTGATATTGTCCGGGATATTGATGGCGTAATGCTGAAATTCGATCCATCACATAATCCGAGACTTTGACCCTGATTTCCATGCCAACAATTAAATTATCAGGAAACATCGGTGACAATGTAACTGTACAACAATTTAAATATTAGTGTTAATTATAGTATTGTTATTATAAATTTTGTTTCTTATTTTTTTGTTCAAGTGAAATATATAAGTATTATAAAATATATAAATGCATAAAATAGAAATAAAATTAAGAGGAAATTATTACTCAATAATCCACCATATCCGCAACCAATGTCAGCGAACTCCACTTGCTTAGTCATCTCTTTAATTTCAGATTCTTTATCATTCGTTTCGGCTAATGTTGGATACAAGTCGTTCCAATTCATCGCGTCTGGATTCAAAGGGCTGTGAAGAATAAATTTTTTGAATTTTTAAGGTAAATATTTACAAAAAATTACGTCAAATATTGTGTACTTTGAAAATATGTAAATGTTTTTCAATCTTAAAGAGAAATGCTCCAAAATTTCTAGAAATACTTTTAACAATTATTCCAAAAATTACTGCAATAAAAATCGAAAAAAATTAAATTTAAAACTATAAAATATTTTCTAAATAAACAACTTTATATTATGAAAGAATTTGAATTTGAAAAAGAAATAAATATTTAAATTTTTATTTACTCAATAGTTCAAAATGTTTAGAACATAAAGAAAATACGTTTAATTGAAGAGAATATTTAGCAAACGAGTGTGAATTTATGAAAAATAAATTTAAGTGATATTAAATGAAAAAACTGATATTTTTCTCTAATTTAATTGCACAATTTTTATTTATTTTAAAATCTTAATATTTATACTTACTATTCTATACAATGATCAGCAATGGGATTGGAATGTGCCCTTTGTCTGTAGTATTTCTTTTGTGGTAAATTTACAGCCGTCATTTTTCTCCTTTTTTAATAAAAAAAAAAGCTCCAAAAATGAAAAGTATTTATAACAGGGGTGCTTAACCTCAAAATACAAATAAACAGAAAAGTGTCAATAACATCAAGAATTTAAATCCTTCGCTCAATTCTTTTTCCCAAGATGGATTAAACTAACTGAAGGTTTTTAAATTTTGAGTTCAATTGCCCTTCTTTGAACTACTTTACAAAAAAAAGTATGTTTACATCCTTTTTGTTTTAGGTTTAAAATTTAAAAAACTAAATGACACATGTGCTTTTCGATACTGTTTGGGCCTAGTGGCAATTTTTGAATCATTTAAAACCATTTTCTCCAATACTCAGTCGATAATTAATCCTCCGATAATAATTAATTTCAATTTCAGACACTTGTGTCACTGCAGTCTATTGAATAAATGCACAACAAGAATAACGAAATTTCGAGTGAATGGAGTGTTTTTTGTCTGTTAAAAACTGATTTTTCCTATAATATTTTAAATGATAGAATATAATTTAAGTAGAATTTAAGAGCTTCGAGATATGAAAGTGTCCAACAAGTAGAATCAAACAGTTAATATTAGAGATACACGACTAAACTGACATAAAGGAATTGGAGTTACATCGCCTTTGTCAGGTGAGGTTACAAAATAAAGTATAATTTAAACTTCAAACACTCATGGCAAATTTAAAGTCCCTGACTAATTTTTAACATCCAATTCTCATTAGTATTAAATGAAAATTTTTAAATCCCGAGACAACTATGTATTGTAATTTCACAGCAGTTTTTGAGGTTATTTTTTTCTACACTCTACTTTTGATTTTTTTTTAAATTCTTATTATCTTAGAGAAAAAAAAATTAATCTCGCAATTAACTCTGATTATAACTCTTTATCAAAGATTAGAAAATTTTAATAGACGTGTCATATTTGCTTTTCAGTTTGCTATCAATTTTTTTATGTTTGAAATTGAAATTCGCACTATTTTGAATTTTTTTCAGTTTTAAATATTTTAATTAATTGTAAATTTACATTACAAGTTTTTTTGTAGTTTAAGAAAAAATTTACATGGCCAAATTTTTGTTATCAATATTATTTTTTTTTATTGTTTTCCTTAACCTTGAAAATCGGAATTCTTTTTAAAAATCGAAACATTTAGTTTAAATAATTTTTTTGTTTACAATGCAAAATATAATAATTTGTCATTTTTTATTTTAAAGGATTCTTTTCGTTATAGTTATTTTAATAATATGTGAATGCAATTAATTATTTTCGTCTTTACCTTGAAGTTCACTTGCAGCGCGAAAAATGGTCTAATTTTTTATAAGCTTTAGAGTTCAAGGCATAAGATCGATTGAATGTTGTATAGAAGTCGGATGAATATCCACTGTGCGTCCAATTATAATGATACTGAACTTTATACATAATTATGAATAAACTTTTTAATTCTCGCTTTTTTTTGCCTTCTTTTCTCAGGCTCTAAAAAATGGATGTTAATTTCAAAGGAAAATACTCAAAAGCTATTTTTAGATTATTAATTGTCTTCTCACTTATCTAGAATTAAACTGAATTTAGTCGATTTGTCAATTTCGGAGGAGAACGATATTTTTCAGAATGTCATTTTTTAAAAATTCTAAATGAAATTTCTAAAAATTCTAATATCTATTATCAAAATTATTTTTGTTTTGTTTTTATTAATTAATTACTCATCAATAAACTTATTATTATTACTATTATTATTAATTATTTTACAGTTTTATTAATTTTTTTATTTAATTAAATTTTAATTTCGACTATTTTAGGTATTTAATTATTTTACAGTTTTATTAGTTGTGTTAATTAAATTTTAATTTTCGATTGTTTTAGGTGTTTCGATAAAATATGAGAATTTATCACTGAAGGCATATATGACAGGAAATCAAATTGGAAATTATAAACTCTCGTGTAATATTGGTAAGAATTTTTGGTTTTGTTTGTAAATAATTGAATTTATCTGTGTTGAAATATGCGATAATATAATATAGTTACCTTCGAGTTAGACAAGTAGAAAGAATTATAATATAATTACGATAATTAATTTATCGAAAATTGTTTTTTTTTGTGGAGATTTTTGTTCCATCATGAAAAACAATAATTTTTAGTGATGGATATTAAAAATGTGAATTTACAGTTTATTAATCTTCGATCATGGTCATTGTTCGATACTGAAACAACTTCGGTAACGTATATATTTTGATAAAATTCCACTTTTTTTTCTAATAAACTAGGGTTGAAAGTTCAGGATCGTTTTATTAGCTCTGGTATTTTTTTTTTTTATTTATAATTATAGAACCTTGTGATCTAACAGGTCTTTGATGTAAAATAACAAAATGTCATTGAGATTCGCTACTTTCTTGCATAATGGGAATTTATTTTTAATTAATTAACGAATTTTACTATATTAGTTAATTATAAATTTAAAATTCATAAATTTTACTTTATTAATTACTTATAAATTTATAATTAATGAATTTTACTATATTAGTTATTATTAACTCTAAATTTAGAGTTAATAAATTTTACTACATTAATTATAAATTTAAAATGAATACATTTTACTGTATTGATTATAAATTTAGAATTAATAAATTTTACAAAATTAATTCTAAATTTAGTTGGAAAAAAAATTGAAAGAGTTGAAAAAAATAATCCATGGAAAGAATTTTGAAATTCTGTTAACGTAGGGCACTTAAAATTATTAACAAAGGACCACTTGTTTTTATAAGTGTATTTAAGATCCTCGGTACATAATTCTCGTTGCACGTGTCATGACTATTGTTTCGCAGCTCACATATAAATGAGAGTGAGATCCCTCTCCGATATTAAAAAAAGTGCTAACGTTGTTCTAATCAATCTCTTGTATTCTCGCAGACCACTCGACGTTTCAGTCAGTTGCTCGTCGTCCGCGATTAGACATAATCTAGTTTCGCATACACTTTGTTCCATATTTTCGATTTTACTCCCCTCAGAAAATAATTCGATGAAAGTGCGCTTATTTTATTTTTACTTGAATCGAAATGTTTCCTTATTTACAATGAATCTCTCGAGACAAATTTTTCCGCTTTCAATTAATTTCTTAATTCTTAGTTTCTAATTAATTTTAATTCTTAGTTCGTAACTAATTTCAATTTTTAGTTTTTAATTAATTTTAAATATTTTTTTAAAATTATTTTTATTTTTAGTTTTTATTTTTCCTTTTTTATTTTTAATTGTTTAATTAAAAATAACAAATAGACGAAAAATTGAAAAATACTTCACCTTTCGAACGAAACGACAGAAATAGTATTTTTTTCGTCTTTAAACAAAGAATTTGATAAAAATTCATTTAATCTCAAAATACGAAATTTAAAAAGACAATAGAATTTGATTTGAAAAACAATAGTTTAATCTATTACTTATCATTGGAGATAATTTTCAATTTTAAAGGTCAAAAAGAATTATTTGTCCAAAGGGAATTCTAATTAAAATTTTTGTCTCTGAATTTAAAATTTTTCCCCTTGACTGTCGATAAGAAAAAAATGTCTCTCTCATAAAGATAACATTTTTTTTAAGTTCAAATAGTATTTTCCCGGTAAATAGAATTCTGAATTTTACGCAAACTTGCAAATAATGTCTTTACATAATCATAAAAATCCATCGAGTTGAAAAAAAAATTAAAAAAAGTTTGTCTCCTGAGAAATTGTGTGGAAAATTTTTAAATTTGTGATAAAAGAAAAAATTTCCCACAGGCATACAATTTTTTTTTCGCGGGGAAAATTCAATTTATGTGATAAATAAATCGTGAAACTTGGAAGTTGTTCGTTTGACCGGTTTCTGTTATCGTGTTTTTATATGTTTATTCAAGAGTAGGTGTGTATTTTTTTTTCGTCCACGACACCTGTTATTATACCAAGTATAAAGGAAAAACAGGCATTGAGGAGTATTTTTTTTTTTATTTATTCGCTGTTATGTAAGTTTCACGAGTGCTCTTATTGTGTTCAAAACGAGAAAAAGAGAGAGAGAGAGAGAGAGAGAGAGAAGGAGGGAGAAAAAAAGGAATATTCCAGGATATAATGTGAATTAAACAATTTTTTTTCGTTCTCTTCGCTTTCTTCATGTCACACCGTAAATCCAAGGATGTTAGAATTGTTTCCCGACACGATGATTATCGAGCACTTTCTTTGTTTCGGGGTAGATCCCCATTCATTGTTCAACGTTTGGAGCACCGTTTCCAAGAGGTAATCGAAAAATGATCGAAAAATGATTTTTTTATTAAAAAAAAGGGAATTACTTTTTTTATTTACGTAAATTCTATTTATAGTTTTATTTCTCATAGCAATTATTATGCTAATTACTATTTATCAAAGTGAGACTAATTTTTCTATTGAGGCAATTATTCTGCCAATTAGTATCGGCACATTGAATTTAAATTAAATTAATATTAAAATTAAGTTTAAATTAAAATTAAATTTATTAAATGAAAATTGAAATTAAATTAAATTAATTTAAAATTGATTTAATTAATTTCGAATTGTTTTCTTTTCGCAATTGTCAATGAATCGGTAAAAATAATAATTTATAAATAGAAGTAAATTGTCTGTTGTAATTTCGTGGGTTGATTCTATTTGATAATAATTTGTCCGGAAATTTGAATTGATGAGCCAAATTATACCTGGATATTCACCGAAAATATACTGAGACAACCTAGATTCAAATAACTTGGCTCTTATTCGCAAAAACGTGCCTCATGCAACATATGAATATATAAAATACAATTCTGTCTTGTTTTACGTAAAATATAATTGTTCCACCAGTGATTGTATTGTATAGACAAATAACTATTTTTTGCTCAGAATTTCGCTACAAAATTATAGACAAACTCGTCAATTTTTTACGATCTTTATTCTCTTAATTTTTTTCTAAAATTTTATTTTTTTATTTTTCAAAATTACAAAATTTGAAATTTTGATTATAATTTTTATTTATATTTTTATTTACATTATTACTAATACTACTATGAATTTTACAGAGTTTGGAAGCAATTTTATTTCATTGAAAGGAGCACATTTGGGAAATTTTTCTCCTTCAGTTTCATTTCATTTTGTGATTCGAGTCGTCATCGTAAAAATCATCTTCTTCATCGTCATCATCATTATTCAGAAATAGATCGAGAAAAAGAAAGAAAAATCGATAGAGAAGAAGAAAAATTGATAGAAAAAAAAATTGATAGAGAAGGAGAAGAAAAACTTGATAGAGAAAGAA